GGAGAGGGGTTAACCTCCTCTCCTCCCTCCCCTCCCTCCTCCAAAAAACATGAAAGCACAACAAAGTATCACTCACCTAACCAAACATACTGCCATTTCACCTTTTAAAAAAAATCGGGGGTGGAGGGTTAACCCCCCTACAAAAAAATATATATTAAAACAAAGTATCATTCCCCTACTCAAACATATTGCCAAGAGGGACACCAGAAATTTGGTATTGCCCAGTGATTTTCAAGATCAGTATATATGGTTTAATATTGCTCAATATAGCCCTTACACGTGCAATTATATTGATACTGTTTCAATAATATTGAAGAAGCTTCAATAAAAATTATATCAACCAGTTTAATTGACGTAAATATAATTGATCCCAATGTAGCCCTTACATGGTCAATATATTTACAAAAATCAATATTGACCAAGTAAGGGGCTCTTTAGGTTTTCTAAATTGGTGTAATATAAAATATTTGTAATATGTAATGTAAAATTATAGGGATGAAAAAAATTATCAGTATTTGCACTAATAATTTGTTTATTTTTTAAATAATTTAAAATTTCTTTTTTATTTAAAGAAATTTTAACTGCAAATTCTGACAATTATTTTCATCCGTAAATATTATTATAATATCGTCATAACATTAAAAGAAATAATCGCGATTTCTACAAACAAAATCAAGCAAAAATTGTGCTACAATGTCGTTTTGTTTCTCTAAATAAGTATAGATCTTCGTTTTTTCTGTTTATGTAATATATTTGTACATTTTTACAGTATATGACTTTGAAATAAAAAATTATCTTAATATAAATTTCGTTCATCTCGTTTCAGGTCTAACCTGTAATTTTCATAGCATTTTAATCTAGATTGCTAGTCGTATTTATTTATTTATCTACTCGAAATTATCTTCAATCAAACGTCAAAACACAGAAAAGTACTCTTTTCAATAAATAAGACAAGAAAAAAAAAAGCACAATAATGTTGAAATAAGCTTTCATTGATAGGCTGGAAAGAGTAATAGGTCGATATTCTCTCCATGGGCCGCAAGTTTTCTCCGGAACCCTCCATGTCCTGTGAGAACGTGTAAGATCCAGAAATCAGAGAGCACCCACATCACATTTAATCTTGCTTGGGCGTTAGGAAAGAACTTCCTGAGGGTAGACTCTTTCGGGCTTGTCACTCACCGTCTGTTCCACTCTTCAATAGACTCCTCCCTGATAATCCTTTTCCAATGGTTTGGATTCTCTCACGGAGCCCCTCCGGTAGCGTAACCAGCCCCTGTCTCTTGAAATGGAACTTGATTGTATCCTCCTTGAGGATTAGTTCCAGGGGCATCGCTCCGGCCATCATCTGCACCGCTTCGTTAGACACCGTGTTAAAGCCCTTTGTTGTCCTCAGTAGGGCGAGTCTCTGGATGGTGCTCATCTTCCTCTTCTGTATCTTATCCAGGTGGCAGCTCCACGCTGGGGATGCGTACCTCAGCATACCCAGCACGACCCCCTTGTAGATGACGCTAGTGGCTGGGTACCTGAGGCCCTAAAAAGCATCCCCTATCCTTGTCAGGCCATTCAGTGACAGGGTCACTATATTCCGCAGGTGTTCATCAAAGCCTGATAGAGTGAGCCCTATCTGTGGAGTCTTTCAGCAACATGGCCTGAGTTTTTGCCGCCTTCATCTTTCCATTTCCATACCATCCTTCGACTATGGTGGCGCACCTCTCTCCTTCCGCCACCAATACCACCCTGCTGTTCCCTGCCACAACGACGGCCAGATCATCCACGTATGTTACGGCACCGAAGCCCACTCCAGCTCCCCCAGAAATTGGTCGGACACCAACTTCCACTGGACCATTCCCAGAACTGAGCCCTGTGGGCATCTTCTTTCAATTTCTTGCTCAACCTCATAGAAGGTACCCCTTATCTTGACTCTCCTGTTCCTGAGGTACCCCCCTGATGAGAGAGTATAAGTTGCTGGAGGTATCGAACTGCTGGAGGCGATGAAATACGCAGAGCCACCATACACTATCAAATGCGGAAGATGTGTCAAACAGAACCATCATGACATACCTCTCCGCCCTGTCATCAATGTCCCTGCGCAGTTCCATTAGGGCATCTCCGGTGCTGGACCCTTTCATAGATCCGTACTGCTTCGGGTTACTCGCTGCCCGCAGGACTGGCGACAGACTCTTCACCAAGAGGTGCTCCAGAACTTTAATCAAAACAGGGAGGAGGCATATTGGCATATATGACATTGATAACTCCTTGTCCTTGCCTCCTCCCTTATACACTAGTCTGAGGTCGACGATCTTCCATTGTGTTGGGAAGTGCCCCCTGTCCAAACAAGCGTTCATTATTACCAATATCTCTTCTTCTATGTAGGGGGCTCCTCTTCTGTCCTCACAGTCCTCTAGTCATCAGTCTTCATGCCTCTTGAATTTGTTTTAACTGATCCCCAGGCCATGCTCCACGAATTCGTGTCGGAGTGCAGACTATTACATTCAGGTACTGGTGTGCAACAGCTTCTAAGGCAGCAAAGCCTACAGTGATTGTCACTGTTGGAGCACAGTGATTTCGCACTTTTTTTTCTTGATTCGACCCGTGATTATTTGGAAATTTACAAAATTCCCTACAAAACGAAAAAAAATCTGACCATGAGTAACATAGATATAGTCCATTATATTCGGTACACATCATAATTTCTTCCTCTTCGAAGATACTGCAATCAATATTCTACTACCGTTTTTTCCTCTCTGATAAATACTTTATTATTTCTTGAAGGCATTGTTTTGTTGGTAGGTTTTTTATTTTTTAATAACTACAATCCTGTGATCGAGGTCATTTTTAATATGAAAGGTAATATTCAGAATTTATAAAGTGGCCCTAGAAAAGTAATTTGTACAAATATTTTGATCTATTATGTTAAATGAAATATTACAATGAGATCTACTTATTTCTATATTATTTTGCTGTTCCTTCACTAAAGAATATATATTGCGAATTATTCACACGGGCCAGCCAGTTAAGTAATAAATAAAATACTGAAAGTAAAGCTTTCGGTTAATTATTTCAGAAATAACTAATTAAAAAATTTGCAGCTTTATTACAATGAATGTTCAAGTCATCCAAAGTTCAAGAAGTATGTATAATAAAATTAGATGAATAACTATTATTTTAGAAATAATTATTTCATGATTATTCATTTATTAAATAAATTATGTCAACAGTGGCAGATCACTGGAGCAATAGGAATGGTGAAGCGGAGTAAGCAGTGTCTACAGTGATTTTACAGCGTCTACAGTGACCGTCACTGTTGGAGTAGTGATTTCACAGCGCCAACAATGATCGTCACTGTTGCAGTACAGTGATTTCACAGCACCATCAGTGACTGTCACTGTTGTGGCGCATTGATTTTACAGTGACCATCACTGTTGTAGTACAGTGATTTAATAGCGCCAAGTGATTCTCAGCGCCTACAGTGACTGTCACTGTGATTTTGGTGCATCAGTCACTGTAATCACCAGCTGCAGCCCAATCACTGTGAGAAAATCACAGCTCCGTCTATATGGACCCATCACTAATCTAAATAATTTTTAGTTGTCTGATGGATGTCATTAGTAGACAAAAACTATTGACTATATTCACAAATAATTATATAAATAAGAGCATTCAATCTACACCCTTTGAATCAACAGCCCTGGATGATGGCCTGAAACTTAGGCCAAAAATAAATATAATTTATTTATTTTTACTTTGAACTTCCATTGAATACTCCAGTGGGTTGTTGGGTTGAAACGCTAATTAATGAGGTTCCATTTCTTTAAAAAGGTCACACAAAAGCTTTTCTTTGAGCTTTTATAGTGACAATGTGACTGAATTAAGGTCAAAACAACCAAATAGTATTTAGGAATATTATTAAGTTAAAGAACAAGTTGTCTCAAAATTTGCTGCCCGAGGCAAGTGCCCCCTTTGCCCTTCCCTAGTAATGTTCCTGGACCAAATGAACTCAAGGAAATTAATAGAGGAAATAAATATGATGCCTAATAATAATTCTGTTGTGAAACATAATAAACTACAACTATTCAATTATTAGCTAATAGTTTCATTTAGTTAATGTTCTATTTTTGTTGAATCAAATTTAGAAGCAAGAGACCATTTTTGGATGGTACACTCTGCTTTTTTGTTTATGAAGTAGACTAGTTTAATTTGGATATGGCTCCATCCATCTTAAAATAAGGCAAATTATAACTAAAAAATTTGTTTTGTTTTTTACTTAAGTTGGTCGACAGTACGCGGCCACTTCCGTTCTAACTTTCTTATTTTTTTAAATTAAAAATTAATATATATATAATGAGTGTATAAATTTAGAGAATTTTAATTAAATTACGATAAATAAAAATTTGTAACATTTAAAAAAATAAGACTACAGGATGAACCAAACATAAAATGTCTTAATAATTATTCAATAGTTTATAAATTGTCGTAAGCAATTCATCAATTTTACCTTCATTCACAATTTTAACCTTCATCATTAATTTCATTAAATCTTGATGTTAAATGTTTTCACCAATATGCCATCCTCAGGTATGATCAAAAATTATTTTATAATTATTAAAACTTAATTACTTCTATTCATCGGTACAAACCTTTAATATAATCATAAGCATATATTAGATTCTGTCAATCTTTAAAATGCTACAGATGTCCTACATTTCTTTCAGAAGGTGGTCTCAACCTTAATTTGTCAACTAATTAATACTTCACCTTAAACATTTTACAACAATATCTGTTTACTGTCATAAAAGTATAGCCATATATTACAAATTGATAATATTTACTTTTTTCAAAATCTTAAGATCATCTAATTGCAAAATAAAATAACAATTATTTCATAAAAAAGGGAACTGGAGAGCATATACAATAAAAATAATTTTTTTGTTTAAATCTGGATTAAAATTTCAGATGATAATATGAAATGGAGAGGCAGAAAACATAAATGTAGTCACATAAAAATTAATAAACTACTTTTATTGTAAAAATGAATGTACATAAACATACAGTTATGTATAATAACGTAAACATGCAGTTTTAACAACATTAAATTTTAATTACATTATTTCTTGGTTTATCAACCAGTCTCTGACATTAAAACATTTAACCTTCTGAACAGAAGGGAGTGTTAACTACCCCAGGCTCATTTCAATTTGGTTATCTAATCCATATCCTGTCCATGTTTAATTCTGTCAAAAATTTAAATAAATTTATAAGAACCAATTAATAATTTAATTACTTAATCCATCACATTAATTTGACTTTCATTTCAATAATAACACAGTCATCTTCCTTAGTATAATATAAAATAAGTAGTAACATGGTAAAAGTCAACACCATGGTCAATACATTTAAAATCAATACCAAATATACAGTTTATACATCTTAATAACTAATAAAAAATATTAAAAAATAAAACTAGGCAAAAATATCACAAGATTGAAATAATTCTTATTGCCAGTTGCATCAATAGCTAAGGTTCAAGTTCAAGATGACTCTCATTGTTCCATCAAAGGCTCATTTAAAATTAATGACTTTTGTCCTAAAAAAAAACAAGCTATTAGTGATTAACAGTTTAAATTACTTATATAATATATTTTAACAATTGATCGAGTTTTTTTATCATAGTAGTAATATTTTTCATTTACATTTGCTTCGTCTGTTTGATTTTTCGCTGAATTAATAAAAGAGAAAAAGTAAAAAGCTAACATCGACATTGCTAAAAAATCAAAACAAGGTTCAATATTTTTCCATTGAAAATACATTTCAATAAGTTTATATCAATTAAATATATATATTTGGAATGTAAAATATATACATAATACAGGAAAAAACAACTTTTTATTTAAAAAGATAATAAAACCTATAGTGGAGGCCATTTAAGTAACCACTCAATCATAACAATCCCAGGAAACTGTCGCCCTGTGTTAATTGCAGATAGGTCTTTTACATTGCTGATGTACCATTTTTATCTTCCTGTCTTTCCCTCTTAAGTAAAACGAATATTTGGCTTGGTTCTCCAACAGTAGTAGTTTACTTTTCAATTCCCAAAATTTATTTTTTGTTGAAACACCATTCGTGTGAGTGTCGCCATTTGCAGTCTTCCTTTGAAACAGGGCTCAAGTAATGAATAGCCTAATGCAAATAAATAATTTCTCCATTTTATCTTCTTTTCCTAATTAACTAAGCTGAACAATAATATCATGCTGTTTATACCAGCATGGTTCAACATTCTAAAAAAAAAATGGGAGAGACAACTTCCTTGTTTTTCTTGCAATTGACACACATACATACATGACACATTTGATAAAAAGTTACTGCACCATCTTTATTTAATGTGCTCCTTACATTTTTTCTTCATCTTCCAACTCCCATAACAATTTATGGATTTCTTCAGGAGAAGAATACATTTTTTTGGTAATTGCCATACAAAAGAAATATTTTCTATATGTTAATGTATAAATTTAAAATACCACTAATTAACAAATATAAAATTAGAAATCCATACTTGAATTATTCGAAGTATCAAAATAACAAAGAAAACACTGGGATACGAAATTCGCAGAACAGTTACATAGACTGCACACTGGAGTGTGAGACACCCACCCAGCAGAGGCACTTAAACAACACACTGGGTTGTGGGACACCCCATAATGACTCTTGATAACTCCCAATAATTAGCCTGGCTATGTGATATTTATTTACATGACAAAACTTGGCCAAAGACCTACTTATATAAAAGTAAATTAATTTTTAAAATTTTGTGGGGTGTGTCGTTCTAGGGCTAAAGCAGAAGCATTTAGAGATTAAATGAAGTCAAGATAGAAATAACTAAACAAGGAATATTGAAAAATTCTAAATAAGCTCCAAATTCTATATAGAAATAAATATTTTTCTTTTTCATTTTAACAGTCCAATCATATTAAGAAAGAAAGAATTTTTTTTTTTTAATTTTAACACATCATAGTAATAATCTTTTAGAGTAATTATTTAATATGTATGACAAGATCCAATTAAGGAGAAAATAATCTCAGTAGTTTACACCGAATAAAATTTAAATATAAGAACAAAGAAGTTCAAAATAAAACACTTTAAAAAAATCTTATTCATTTAGTAAAAAAATAAACAGTAGAATTTTATCATTTTTTGTCTTAGAGAAGTAAAGAATTAATCCATACATTTATATAAACATAGCACAAATGTTAATAATTACATATACAGAAGAAATATTGTAATTACTAGAGCTGATGTAGACAAATATACAAATCTTGTACAGCAGAATCGACAATAGCCTGATGATTGCAAGAAAATGGAAGACATGTCCTCAGGGCAATAATATAGTCAATCAAAGCTTTCTTATATTTCTTCCTTTCACAACTAACTGTCCCCGACAAGAAGTAGCTCATCAAATTCAGATTTTCACCATCTAAACAATTAAATGTATTGTATTGTTAAACTGTTGAGGATAAAAAAAACATTTCCATTAATTTTAACATTTTGGATTTTATAGTCTAGTTTGGTGACTTAACTGTAACATGATATGACCTCTCTGAAATATTTGACACATTTACAATTTTTTTAAAAGTTTTAAACCATAATAACCATTCATTAATTCAAATTTGAATAATCAATTATTTACAGTTAATCTGCTTGAATTATTTAAGTTGTTCAAAGTAAATTCGGTGGGCCTATAACATTAAAATTACTTCACCTTGAAACCAAGAGAGTATTTTAAATTATTAATATCAATATTTTCAAACAATAAATACATATACAATATACAACAGTCAAATATAATTAAATTAGAACATATCAGGACATTACTAAAGATGGTCATTGATATTGACACAGGTCATAGGCAAAATGACTAGCTGAATGAATGTTTAGAATAGTAAGCAATTGGACTCATTGCAATGATTGATACCTGATAATTATTAAGAAATGAATAAAATGTTTTTATCTTCACAACTAATGTCATAATTAAGGCAATTATTTTTTAAAAATGTATAAATACTGTAATGATATGCAGTTACCTTACCTGATTTGTAACTACACTTTCTTCCCATACAGTTAATAAACTTATTTGACAAGAAAGGACTCAAAAATAAAATAGATGTAAAAAAATTATTCAGTGTAGGGTGATGGTTAGTTAACAGATACAGATATACAATATTCTCAATGATACCAGTCACATTTCCAGATAAGAGATTAATTAACATCTGAAAAAATAATAATTATTTTAATCTATAAAAAAAATTATTTCAAACATATTAATAAAAAAGAATATAAAAATCATGGTGTTTGGACAACAAAACCATAATTAGCTTCTATTTATTCTTTAGTTTAAGGTGAAAATATGATTCATAATATAAGGAGGTTTGGCTGCGTTTATTCCACTATTTTTATTTTTCATTTTATTATTTATATTACATTATACACACACAAATTAAAAATCTCAAACTATATATAGAAAGTGTCAGGTTGGTTAATGCAAACATTTTTTCATATACAAAAACGCGTTTTATAAAATGATACGAGATATTCTAATGGGATCATCCATGAGTGCAAACTTAGCAGGCTTAATAATGAATCTGATATTAATTAGATAAAGCAAAAAACAAATACAACAAGGAAATTTCTCTGCTAATTAAACATCACGAATTTTCTGAATATCCTAAATAATGTATCCAACTTTAAATTTACATATGAAATAGAAGAAAACAACGCAATACGATTTTTGGGCATTAACATAGACAAAGGAAAAAATGAGACATTGACTACTGAATGGACAAAAACAGAGAATACTAGCAATAGATTAATAAATTACTACAGCAACCCATAGGCACTGACTACAGGAGAGGAGAGCAGAGGGGAGGGGAGGCGAGAATATCGTTTTACTCCCCCAATAATTTGAAGTTTTTTTTTAATAGATTACTTGTTTATCGATAAATATTACAATCTGTCTCAATTAAGGACACTTATAATAGAGTTCAGAGAGCAAATTCACACCATAACTAATTTGAAGGAAAAAAAGAATTATAATTGATAGCAAAATTTGACTATCTGGCCAGACTAAAGCCTATAAGTAAGTACGTAACTATTTTATCATGACCTAAATATTTCTATTATTTAAATTTTCATTTATATTCAGGGATGATTATATAGAAACATTTCCTAGGATTTTATGATTCATTCATGTCTCATGTGTAGACCTCTATTTCCACATGGTTTTCTTATAAAGGAAGGAGATGGTTCGGGATGGCGGTCAAAAATAGGCTAAATAGTGGCAAAACTATTTTATTAAAAGCCAACGTTTCGACCCAACTTTGCAGGTCTTCTTCAGGCCTAGAACGGACAAGATACAAAAAGATACAGAATTGTGGAAGTTACATAATATTTAGACAAAAAATTATAAACAATGTGAATAAAATTATAAACAAAAAGTACATTAAAATATAAACAGAGTAAGCTAAGTAACAAGATCCTAAACTGAAGTAAATAGATGGTAACAATTGTTGTAGTGTAATATATATAATATATGCAAATGTGAATATACTTCTACAGATCTACAGGAGAGATTGAAAGAAAAGGAAAAAGGATATAATATGAAATAATAGACATAAAGGAATGTGGAGAAAGAAAAGAAGAAAAAAAAATTAAATAAATAAGTAACTGAAATTAGAGACTTACAGGTGTGTTCAGCTAGGAGTTTCACTTAGAACTGGAAAGCGAGGGTAAGGGCAGGTATTGGGGAATTTGCAGACTTGTTTGGGTAATGGCGAAAACCTAGAAAATTACAGTATCTAAAATTTGAAGATATGGATGGATTCAAGGGAAAAAAATACTATATCTATGGAATATTAAATTATAAATATATACATATACATATAAAATAGAATTAAGAGATTACAGATAAGAGTACAATGTGAATAAAAACAAACATGGAAGAAGTAAAACGTACATAGAAGTAAAATATAAATATAGAAATAAGAGACCATACATTGCAGAGCTAACTTAGAAGTATAGAGAGGGGGAAAAAATAAAATCATAACTATATTTGGTTGTACATATGTAAGAAAATTACATTTAAATATTAGATAATATTGAGACATGGTTAAAAAGTAAAATGAATACAAAGTGAAAACGGATGATCATACATTGATGTAGAATGTAAATATAAAATTAAAATTAAATAAAAGAGAGATCATACAAAGCGGAAATACTTAGAATAATGAACAATTAAATTGAATTAATCAATAAAAATTGAAAGTAGATAAAAATAAAAATAATAGGATGTAATATATAAGTTATTTTTCACTTATAAGATTTAAAATGTGTCTATATGTTAAAGAAATGCAGTTTTTATCTACTTTATGATTAACAGGATTCTGTTCCATGTGAATGTGAATGGATTCGGAAATGAGTCTTTTTCATGGTTAGGGACCGTGGCAAGAATAGAGGTTTTTCAAAATCAAATGAATGGTTGAGGGTTAAGGCATGTTCTGATAGTTTGGAGGGGGAAGGGTTCTGGGAAGTTATGGATGTTTTATGTTGGGAGATGTGGGTTTTGAGATGGTTTTTGATTTCACCAATATAGGAGCTATTACAATTAGGAGTAGAGCAAGGAATTCGGTAAACTACATTAGATCGGTGTTGTAAAAGTATGAGATCCTAGTCGATTGAAGGAATTCTTGTGTATTATCTGAGAGAATAGAAATATAGGGGAGAGATTTGTATATGAAAGGAGTGGTAGATAATTGTGTGGAGTTGGGAAAAGGGGCAGTTGTAGATAAGGAGAGGCGAATATGCACATTTATATAGTATATTCACATTTGCATATATTATATATTACACTACAACAATTGTTACCATCTATTTACTTCAGTTTAGGATCTTGTTACTTAGCTTACTCTGTTTATATTTTAATGTACTTATTGTTTATAATTTTAATAAGCTTATTCACATTGTTCATAATTTTTCGTCTAAATATTATGCAACTTCCACAATTCTCTATCTTTTTGTACTTTGTTCGTTCTAGCCCTGAAGAAGACCTGCAGAGTTGGTTCGAAACGTTGGCTTTTAATAAAATAGTTTTGCCACTATTTAGCCTATTTATGACCAGTCAAATAAACACTAAATTTAAAAAAAATAGTATTTTTTATTATTACGTTGACGTTTCGACCCACCTTGCAGGTCTTCATCAGGGCTACAAAAGATACAAAATATAAAAGGTACATTGCAAAAATAAAATAAATGAATTATAAGTAGGTATTAAATAAGAAACAATTGTCTGATAAAGAAATAATAAGATGACATCAGAGATATAGTGGGTGACAATGTAGTTAAAATATCAAGTATTATATATATAGAAGACACAAAGAAAAATAGGAAATAAGTATGAATAAAAATAGAAAACAAAGGAGAATATAGCGTGTAAGTTAAAAGTAAACAGATTGTGATAAAAGATAAGAAATGAGTGTATAACAAACTGGTAAAGATTGCATTTGATAATTGTAGGTTAACAAATAAAGAAAATGAGCGTTGACGAATAAAGAAATTGAAAAATTGAATATATATAAATATGCGTATGTATATGTATATATGTGTGTGTGTGTGTGAATTTGTATGTATGTTTGTGTACTAGACCTGTTTCAACTGCCAGTCTATCAACGGCCTCCTGCAGTGCCACATGTCACGGTATGTATTATATATATATATATAATACTTGATATTTTAACTACACTGCCACCCACTATATCTCTGATGTCATCTAATTATTTCTTTATCAGACAACTGTTTCTTATCTAATATCTACTTATAATACATTTATTTTATTTTCACCATGTACCTTTTATATTTTGTATTTTTTGTAGCACTGATGAAGACCTGCAAGGTGAGTTGAAACGTCAGCGTAATAATTAAAAATACTATTTTTTAAAATTTAACATTTATTTAACCGCACCCCCCCCCCCCAACAACTCCTCATATTATATTATGGTCAACCATCTCTACATCAGTTTTCATTTTTAGCTGGAAAAGTTATAAAAATGTACCAATGTTACGAAAGCTGTCCCTCTTCCTTCCACGTTTAGTATGTATACATAATAAGTATACAGATCATAATAAATTCAATAGTTTTATTTAGATATTTTCAAGTATATCCATATGAACATAAAAAAATTCTATAATTTCCAAACAAACATATAAATTTATTTTTAAACATTCAATATTATATTTCTTTACTTCACAATGGTTATGCTGATTTTTTTTTACACATAATAAGAACTCTACCATTTTTTTTTTTTGGTACTTCCCTTCTCTAATCAAAATTGAAAGTCTGCGCCTATGCAGCAACCACTCCACTCATCAGATCAGAAATGTAGCCAATAATTTAATAAACAGATCCATGAAACTAACCAGTAATAAACACATAAGTAGAGTAAAAGAGAATTGACATATCTATAAAATATTAATAGATAATTGGTATCCAGAAAAAATTATAAAAGATTTATGGATAAAAGAGACACATAATAAACAAAATGGGCATGTTCATAGTGATCAATATCAAAACAAATTCTTTAACAACCTAGAAAATAAACATAATCAGAAAGAAAAAATCTCCAAAAATAAACTAATTACTCAATGTTTTAAACCAATTAACCACAGTGAAACATCATCCATCAACAGTGTGGAAAATAGAGAAATAAGTAATAAAGAACAAGAACACATAAATTCAAAGTTTTACCCCATAACACAGATCAATAGTCTTACATATAAAATAACAAATACTTTAAAAAACATGATTTATCAGATTTGAAGTTTAGCATAAAACTTACAAATAAAATTTCAAACATATCCACTAACATTATATAGAAAATAATTTGCATGGACTGTATAAATATCAGTAATGAAAATAAGAAAAGTACAAGTTACATAGGGCAAACGAAACAGAACTTCAAAAATAGAATAAATCAACACAAAAGCAATTGCAACAATTCTGAAAATAAAAAATATAACACTTGGACAGGACTTTCAACATGTAGCACCCAACAGAAACACACCTTTGCTTTTAAAAATCCAGAAATAATAACTAGAGAAAAAATAGCTATAAACATTAAAATAGTTATAAGTATTAGGATCAATTGATATTACAAAAAATCTAGACAAAGTATGTAATTTTCAAGCAGACACAAATGGGTTAAACAGTATATAAGGAAATATCATTACTAAATTGAAATTTTAATTGAATAATATCTTTAATAATTTAAGTAATAGTCTTTAATAGTATATAAAAGAAACAATAATATAACAATATGTAACCTCCCACCTACATCCTCTCATAGAGAATATAATCCAATTAAGGACTGAACATCTAAGATGTTGGACATAGTGAATATTAATTTAAGTAAGGAAATTAGAATTCACTGAGAACCACCGTCGGATAGACCTTGCCTTAATACCTGTAATTTTATTTATAAAATATTCTTAGTTTATTTTTAACAAAATTAATATATAAATTAACTTGTTGAAACAGTCCCATTAGGGATATAATTTATATCAAGTTAGGATTAAGAAATGATTAACGTCACTATCACACTATGTTATATGTAATTTATGTTATAATTGTATGAAAGTAATTGTTAACTGAGTTTTACAGATGGCTTGAAAATGGTATCTTAGCTGAAACATTGTCAATGCAACAAAATAAAAAATAAAATTGGTGGAATAAACATTACCAAACCTTATATTATACATTACTTATAAAAAAATAAATCAAAAGCAGGAATTACTTATGTTATGGATCTTATAGTTTTAATTGTATTCTTTTTTACAACTACCTATAAAGCATATAGTTTTATACTTACTTCACCAAGCCATGGTTTATCAAGAGATGAATAAGTTCCTCTTGCAGATAAAAATAATTTACAAGCTTTTTCAAAATCTGACATACTAATGGCAATGAATCCAGCATTACATGTTGAAAATAGTGAATAAGCAACTGGGCTGCCAAGATTCAAGCTAGTGTCAAGAGCAGTAACAGAATTGTTTTGAGCGATTTTATGGTTCTTTAGATTAGGAACTGCAAAAACTATATAATACAAATAAAACAGATTAATGAAAATAATAAATCAGAAATCCTAAATAGTTTACTTTCTTATTTAATATGAAATGGAAAGTATGCAAATCCACCATGATTATACACATGATACATTATATCTTATCCAACCAAAAATCATCATTCCCTGAAGTCATTAAAATTCCTTTAACATGTTCATGTTTCTCTACTCCATGGGCTACACTTAAACCTCTCAGCTCAATCAAACTAAAGGGTAATTCAAAAGTTTATCGTAAGGGTAGTCATTTTCAGTAGCCATTGTTTACATTATTGAATTAAAGTTATGTTGATGTTATTGAATTATGGTAATGTTTAAAATATGTTATGAATTATAATTGTTATTAAAAATAAATATTTTCAATTAAAATATGTTAAATTTTCAACTATATGGAATTTTTTTCAAGTTACTTAATGATCTAAATTTTTGATGTTACACACCACCTGATAGTTCAATAAAATATGAGCCACCATTGGTAAGCGCCGGTCAATGCAGCAGACATGTGCAAGGCACTGGTGGTACGTGCTGGTTAGTGAACATTTCCATAAACAGCAAAGTGCTAATGAGCTAGTGCATGTCCCATAGGTGCAAATAAATAGTAGTTGGACAGAGCCAAGTTTGGTGAGTAAGTTTCATGAGGTAATATTTCTGAACTGAATGCCTTAATAATTTCTTTCACTGCTTTTACAGTGTGTATGATGGTTCACTATCATAAAGAAAACACATATTTTATAGCGTTCTGTAAATGCTGAACTTATCCCCAACAAATGATCAATTTGAAATGAGTATTACAAGAAAAAGACAAAATGTTTCACCAGGTTTTAGCAGCTCATAGATCACACCCATGGTCCACATTCTTTATTTCTCATGTCTTCATTCTTAAAAAATGCCACTTTTGAATTATTTAAATCCCTCAAAGCACTATGATTAACAAGGACTCATATTAACTATCATAACTATACGTTCATATTAAAATGAAAATAGTCCTTAATTTGAATTTATAACATAACTTACTTTACACATAAATACAGTAGATCATAGCTCACCCACAAGGATACGGCATAGGAAAAAAATTAGAAAAGAAAAAAAAGGAAGAAATTTGTCTCCCTTTATACATTCAATGACCTGACAAATAGTTTAATTATAAATGCAATGTGTTGTCATTTCACTATATATGTAAACATTTGTTGAAAACAATTTTGATGAAAAATGAATTAATAAAAAAATGGGACATAATAATTTTTTTTTTTACTTTCACTTACCCACATATGAAAAAAATACTAAGGCAGAGTATTGTGATTGTGAAACATTTGGAATGGAAATATATATGTTTCAAGGTCATCTGAGACTAAAAAAAAGTATATGTCTGTATGAATAGTCTAATGCAAAAGCAAACAATTGTACAAGACAGAAATTGCTTATTTAAGGTAGGTATATGCCCCGGAATATTTTTCTCAAAAACAGCTCAAACAATTTTGATTAAACTAATCGTATTGGTGTAAAATTAGTAGGTATTATATATTAATCATGTAGGTATTAATATCTAATAAATACCAAATTGAAAAAAAAATCTTATTTAAGAGTACTATTAATTTAGTTGATTAGAAATAAATAAAGGTCTTTCATTAATAGTAGTACTAAAGAATGGAACTATGAAAGAATTTGATAATTAACTAAAGGAGAAAATTGGAGAAATATTTTTACAGCTTGAAAACAAATTTCCAGAAATGAGAGTAGTAATATAAATGTATGACATACTGTTGGAAGTTAAGTATTTTAGAAAAATGAATACCTAAATATCACCGTAGAAGGTAATGGAGTGTGATGCAAACCTAATGAGTTTTAATTGTTGTAGGCAATAATCTGAATAATTTTATAATATTAAGGAGGAAATAAATGTTTTGATAGAAAATATAAGAAAAACTAATTTTTTTTTTCAGCTGGATATAACCAAAAATATACAATTCACAGAATGTTTATAATTTATATTAAATGTCTTAAGTTTGTATTTATAATTTAAGTAATATTTTTAAGGTTTATTTTTTTTTTAAATAATAATTTCTACTGAATGTAGGGTGGGTATATGAAAGTTGTGAAATACATCAATTTTTTAAAAATACATAAAGTAACGAGTTAAAATTATTTTATGGTACTATGAGGAGAATGTTAGTTTCAACTTACTGCGGTGTTTCCTGAGTGAGCTATAAACAACTAAATTAGCAGAATGTATTCAATTTAAGAAAACTAAATTTAAAAAAGGTTCAAACCTACTCTTACATTGATAACTTCTTATTAATTACCTTGATCATTAATTAAAATACCAAGTAAATTCCATGACAAACTATTTTGTAAGTCAATCTGTAAACTATTGATACTCGACTGAATTCCAAAGGTTAATAGCTTTTGCTTAGTATCTTTGTTACTCAAGGAACTTAGTTTCCTAAAAGCAACGGAAATACTGTTCCAAAGGCACACCATCATTTCTTTTGAACAGTTGGGAGTATTTAGACCTGCATAATAGCACCTGAAACAATTCCATTGTTATTTATCTAAGATCATAATAATTCAGTAAACTCGACAAAAGTAATAAAACAAATAGCTGGGGACCTTTTCTAGTTCATTAAATCAAAATTAAAAAGGTTGGGATTACTTTACTATTTTCTTCAATTAGGCCAAAGATAATAATTGGAGGAATGATTGATTCTAAATTTACTGGTAGTGGTACTAGTACTGCTGCTGATGGGGGAACTAATCCGGCAAGTGAGCCCTAACGTGGCCCTTTTTACCAACTCCTGGCGACTACCTTGAGGTTCCTGCTGCGTACTTACCAGAGTGGGAATGTCAAGTTTCTTTCTCGGGGCCACCGAGAAATGAAAATTAACTGACCCAGGTGGGAATAAAATCCACAACATTCAAAACCGGGTGGGATCCACGCCTCAACATGCTCAGCCATCCCAATCTCGATACTAAATGAAAAGGATTTGATTGAAAAACCATTAAGAATCAGCAATATTCTTAGTAAACTGGTCAAGAAATGTTCTTAAGCAAGCATTTCCGAAATATGCAACCTTAAAAAAAAAAAAAAAAAAAAAAAAAGCGCACTAAGTAATGGAAAGAATATAAATTAATGTACATTCTGAAATAGGTTATACATAACAGAGTTTGTAGTTCAGGCATTTTCTTCACAATCTTTTTTTTATTTTAATACTGGAATTCTTCATATAGGTTTTACATACATGGAAGAACCGTGTTAAATTTTAAATTTTTCTTTGAATAGTATTCAGAGAAAAGAATTATGTTGAAGAAAAAATTAATCTCCAGTGCACTAAACTTTGGAGTAAGATCAGATCAAAACTATTATATTCCTTACCAATATGAAGTAGCATTTTTACCACCAACTGAATAATTTCATGAAATATTAAAAACTTAGTTTCCAAATTCTTGAAACGTAGCTGCAATAATTTTGGTTAGATGTTTTATATTAAGGAATGTATATAACATTGGTAAATAAAATTCCATATTTATATGAGCAATGGTTTTATTCTAAATAAAATCACGCATTTCTTACTAATGGTAATTACATTAAAAAATATAACAGGAATGAAAAACTAATATCTGAAAATTTTATATGAAAAAAAAAAAAATCACTCCATAACAAATTTTGGACAGATAATCGGTGAGAAGCTAACATTTCAGACACCGAAAAAGGATAATAACAGGAGGCAAAAACTAGTAACTAGGTTGCAGCACCATGAAATAATAATAATAATAGAGAACGATATGCTAAGTGATCTCAGCAGAGATCTATATGACCCAGTAAACACTCCCATGTCTGATTACTTAGTTGTTTATGAACAAGTTCTAGTTCAGTAACAATGGAATTTACCATACGTTGATTATGAGAAAGTTTTAAATCATATAAACCACTTTATTTACAACCAAATGAAGGAATTAGAAGTTTTCCCCATTTTTATTTTACTGGTGAGCTTCAAAAACATTCAATAATAAAAGCCATTAATCACACACAAAAATATCAACAGCAAGAAATTGAAGAACACAATAGTCTGTGTTGATTGAAAACCACTTATGTGAAGTTCCAACAATAATATATGAGGTATAACAAGAAAAAAATAAAAATTTTTTAAAACCAAATGAAATTCGCAAATCGCAAGCAACCAGGGAAAGTCAAGCTGCCCGAGATCTCACCTATGTGAGACCCATCAGCCTACTGGAGGCAACTCACACTGACCGGGCGTAGGACTGATAACCCTACCCCTGTGTACTTAAATCAAGAATCGGGATGTGGTCTCCGCGGTCAAAGATCTTCATGGTCTGTAGCGCCAACCAACCAAAAAAAAAAAAAAAAAGAAATCTTATCTGACTATAGGAGTAAGCGAACAAATGGATTAAGAATATAAATTTAAATGAATTGAATGAAATGAAATTGAAAGGATCTCCTAAACTAAAACAAAAAGAGAAAAAGTAGATCAATAGAAGTGCGAGGTTATACATCTGAAACACACGTCAATGGACATTACTTATAATAATAAAAAAAAAATTTTAAGCTTTTAGTTGGGCGGAGCCTGAATCAAGGTCATGTCTTGTGTGCGCGGGATACTGAAAGTCTAGCCAACCCCGCAGGATTTATTCACTTAATTTATCCAACCTTTTTGCACTTTTCACATTATAATACGCTTTTTTTTTTTATAAGTGACTTATATATTTTTCTTTAATATGATGTCAGCTCATATTTCAATAAACAGGTAAATGTTTTTTTTTTTTGTTAATTTTATAATTTATTAATTGTCTTAAATTACATTTACATTATACTGTACACTTTTGAAAAAAATAAAATAAATTTTTTTTAAATTAATTTAAATCTCATTTTCAACTTTTGCACTTCGAAACAATATGAACTGCTGTTAGTTTTAGAGCTAAACTGTGTTCAAAAGACTAGAGAAAGGAGATATAGAGGTGGAAGCAGGTATGCGAAGGGTACCCTCACCCTAAAGGATATCCACAACTAAAATATACAGCTCATGCTATCTAGTGGTTTCAGCAACAGCCTATGAACCATGGGGTACCTGGTGGTCTATGCTATAATGAGGCGGAGTATTGGTTTTGCCCAACTAAACAATAAAAAGCTAAAGCCATTATATTGGCTTTGCACATATAAAGGGTTAAATGTGGAAAGCTAATATTCTTGATTGTAAAATGAGCCTTACGCCTATATGATTATCATGACATATTTTGAAGAAATAAAAACATGCATTAGAGGAAAAATATTGGTCCATAATGGCTTAAAAGTATTTTACCTGATCGCCAATAAGGTTGCCTGATACCGTCTAACTAAAACAATTTTTTTTGAAGCATTTTCTTTCAGAAACCAATGAGGAATGTAAATGAACCCTGCTGAATATCCCAGGCATGAACACTGATATAGGATATCTCCCATCAGTTTCCAGATGCTAGAATAGTTTGCGGAGACAGAAATTGCACTAAAATAAAAAAAAAATTATTTGATTATAAAACAAATTTAATTAATGTTTGACATTATATACACATTTATTAAGTTTTGATAGAAATTTTATTATTACTTTAAATTGCAATCCACCACCACCGATTTACTGTAATATATATTTTGGTTGAAATAATGAAAACTTAAAAAATAAAAACATTAAAGATTAACAACTTTGTTATGGTTGTGTATTTTTACTGGGATATTCATTTAAATTGAATCAAAAATAGATTAAGATTAAAAGACTACTATACTCCCATTATCAGCGTAAGAAGGTGGTGACCCCATCGTCCGGTCAAAGTACCACAGATAGCCACTGGCCCTCCAGGTTGGGGGAACAGTACACAGATTACAGCACACTACACTCACCCCCACATTAAACACTAATGTCAATAACAGTACACACCTTAGGGTCAACTCTCCTAGGTAGCCGCCCTGCATGAAGGAGTGTATCAGGATACTCCGAGGAGGCAGTCCCTCCACCTGACTCTGAGGTAAAGTATGGGTTGATATCCTCCTCCCCTTAAACCACCCTTATCCTGAAACCTCAAAGAGAAAATGCCGGATTGATTAATGGTAAAAGACATCGAAACCGTCATAAGGACATAATAATTGGACAATGGAACATTTTAACTCTTAATAGACCCGGAGGACTTCAAGCCCTCTCGAAGCAAATTGACAATTGCAAGATTAACCTCACTGTGATCAGAAAATTTGTTGGACTGGAACAGGAATCCTGGAGAAAAGATATCATACAGTTTATTACAGCTGCCATAGTAAAAACCAAACACTCGGCACTGGGTTTGCTGTAAGGGAAAGAATTAGAGAACGAGTCATAGATTATGCTGCCATATCTCCAAGGCTCTGTAGACTAAGGCTCAAAGGACTCTTCTATAATAAAAGACTAAATAATTGTCAGGCTTCCACAGAAGAATCTTCCGAGGAGGAAAAAGAAGATTCCTACGATGCATTGGAGAGAGAGCTCAATAGTTGCCCTCAAAGTAATATAAAAATAGCTGCTAGGAGACTTTAATGCCAAGGTTGGCCAGAATGAAATATATCACCCTACGATTAGAAAATGGAGCCTCCATGAAGAAAGCAACAAGAATGGAAAGAGATTAATCAATTTTGCCTTCTTAAGGGATTTGATTATTGGGAGTACCTTATTCCCTTGTAAAAGGATTCACAAAAACACATGGAGGTCTCCAGATGGTGCACAATTTAACCAAATTGACCACCTGCTCATATCGGCTTGCCACAAATCCAACCTCATCAGCAGCAGAACCTTTCGTGGCGCTAACATGGATTTGGATCATTACTTAGTAATATTCAGAATACGAGCTAGAATCACCAATAGCCACACAGTAGGACTATTAAAAAAATCAACATTGAAGTTGAAGGACCCTGAAACTCCCCAAAGATAAGAGGAACAGTACAGCCATCACATGAAGAACGTAATGAAAGAAATGGGCAACAATTCTGAATTGGAAGATGACTGGAGGATTCTGAAATAACCTATAACGAGGGCTGCAGAAGAAGAGTTAGGGAACAAATTGGGATATAGTAGAGATGAGTGGTTTGATTAAGAATGCCAGGCAGAAAAAGATGCAAAAAACCGAGCTTGCAAATTGATGGTATTCAGGAGATATACTAGACTAGGGTTGGAAGAATATAGAACATTGCGGCAAGCGGAGAAGAAGCTACATCCAAAAAAGAAGAAAATCTGCGAAAGGAAAAAATTGGAAGAAAAAACGAAAAGTAAATGACAGCAGACTCTTTTATCATAGGGTCAATCAAGGAAGAGCCGATTTCAAACCAACTTCTATCTCCTGCAAGAGCGAGGACGGTTCGCTACTCATGAATAAAGAAGAAATTCCCCAAAGATGGGTGTGTCATTTTGAAGCTCTGCTTAATGATTGTACAGTAGAAGACACAGAAAAAGTTACCAGGCAGAAAAATCAAAACAACAACTCAGAAGAAGAGAATGAGCTCTCTCCAGATTTTGAAGACGTTATGGAAGTAATCCATAGAATAAAAAACAATAAAAGTCCTGGTTTGGATGGCCTTACAGTAGAGCTTTTTAAATATGGAGGTGAAGACTTGCATAAGACCCTTCATAATTTAGTGGTGCAGATATGAATTGATGAAAAGATGCCAACAGAGTGGAAAAAAGGAATAATTTGCCCAATCTATAAAAAAGGTGATAGACTTGATTGCAAGAATAATAGAGGAATATCGCTCCTAGCAACAGAATATTCTGAACAGAACATTCTTTCCGGACCCATCTTCAATCGATTGTGTCCCTATGCCGAACAAATTGTAGGAAAGTACTGGCTTTAGAAGTGGGAAATCCACAGTAAACCAAATATTTTTCCTGAGGACTATTATGGAGAGGGAAATAGAATATAACATGACAACCTACCATCTTTTCGTAGATTCCAAGAATGAATATGATACATTAATCACTCCAAAATTGATAAGGCACTTGAAGAATTTGGAATTCCCAGGAAGCTTATCTGCCTTGTTAAGATGACTATGCATGATGTGAGGAATGTTATCACAATACAAGGAGAGTCCTCGAGCGAGATTCAGACCAATAAGGATCTGTGAAAGGGAGATGGATTGGCATGTCTGCTGTTCATTGTAGGGCTTAAAAAGACAGTAAGAGATTCAGGAGTACAGACAAGAGGAACTAATGTCAACAGAAGTGTCTTGTTGCGCTTTGCTGACTATATTGACATAGTGGCAAGATCAAAATCTGAGCTGATTAATGCTTTTCTGGCAATTCAACAGGCAGCTGTCCAATTGGTACTTGAGATAAATGAGGCCAAAATTAAATATATGGTGGAAAGGCCGACGGATTTCAGCAAGGTGAAAGTTTTATAGAAATAGGCCCATACAAATTTCAAAGAGTATAGGAGTTTACCTACCTCGGATCCCTGGTGACATCGACCAATGAAATGAGATGACGAAGGAAATAGGGAAGAGGAGAGCAGCAGCAAAGTTTGGAGAAGACAGAGAAACTGGGAGTTATACACTCTGTATAATGACTTAAATGTCCTCAACTTCATAAAACTTGGAAGGTTAAGTCAGGCCGGCCAAATTATTCAGATGGAGGAGGGTGATATTCCCAAAAGAGTCCTTGAGCACAGGATTGACCACACCAGAAGGAGAGGCAGACCCAGGCTGAGATGGATGGATAGTGTGGTTGCTGACTCCAGAATACTACTAGGAACACCGAACTGGAAGGCAGTGGCAATGGATCAAACTGGATGGTGGAAGCTCCTATAGGAGGCCAAGACCCACCCTCGGATTGTAGTGCTAACGAGATAGATAGATACTCCCACTAATACACTTAACTAATAAAAAAGGGTTATCTAAAGTTCTTCAAATTTTGGGTTAGTTATTATACTATATCTGCTTGAAAAGTATCAAAATAAGAGCTACTTTGAGTTATATATAGACTCAATCTAATAAAAAAGTTTTTATTTCTTTCTTAAATTTACTGTCTCAAAATTCTGTATACTTTCAATTTTTTTTTTTAATATGATGAACCTCTTTATTTACATCACACTACCATACATTCAAAATCTCTATATATCACATTTGTTCATGGAAACTTAAATTTGTATTAGAAAAAAAATCCTGTATCTTGAATATAATTTCATAGAACAAAAAAAAAAAGACAAATTTTAAAACATAAAATAACAGTGATGAATTTTTCTCTTTCAACCTCAGTTTATAACCTTATGTATGTTAATTTTAACTTGAAATTAATTTCAGATATGAATAAGACTATGATTAACTATCAGAATGTCATAATTTATTTTTAATTATTTCTTGCTTAAGGCATATTTTTTTAGGTTTAGGTTTTAGAATACTCTTTATCATTCAATAGTAATTATTACTAGTATAAAATCAAGCATGATAGAAAACCTGATTACTTACCGGACGCAGAAGAACAGAGCTTGCTGACAGTAGATTTGGGACAAGAAGTAATAATATTTTGAGCAAAGTTTAATTGACTTGATTAAGAAAGCATGAGCAGTGTTGTGGAGTACTATAAAGACATCCATTCCTCCACAATTAACAACACATTTCATCATTTTTAAATACTTTGTAACACCTTTAACCTATTCATAAAATTATATATGAAAAAAAGCTTATGAAAATCCTGTACAGAAATAATAAATTGATAACATAACGTACAAATAAATATTGTTTTCCAATCATGCTTCCAGAATACAGATGTCTATAATTATTGGTAATATAGGATTCTTTGAAGCATTTTAAACCGGAACCAATCATTCCAAACTTGGAATAAGATTCAGCAAGCATTTCTTTGAAATATCTATAAGAAAAAAAGGTTAATTATTATCATTATTATTGATTGATTTACACACATGGTGGGTAGGATATTATACAATGAACTTTTGAGCTAGGATATTGGTTATTTGAAAAAAAAATTGTTTCATTTCATCAGCTTTCCAAGGGTGAACTAAACTTTCCAGAGCTTGTCTGATTTTAAAGAGATATTGAGGTTGGGAAGTCAAAGAGTGTGAGATGCCTATAATACACACATCTAATTAATATTTTTTGTCCTAGTTTTGCCATATTGTATGTTATGGTTCAGTTTGGGTTCCACCAAGAAAAATACATTATAACTGGAAGATAGAAAATTTCAGTAAATATCCATTTTAACATGATGACTAATGTCCTGGGAACTCTCAGTTGTCATGATTTTCCGAAGACAGTTTCTGTACGCAGAATCATAGGCTGCTTTGGAATCGACAAATAAGGCAGGTACATCCTGAGCTACTTCCCATCATTTTTCGAGCAATCGTTTTAGAAAGAAGATTTGGTCTTAGCATCTTCCGTCTGAATTCAATAGATATATCTGGTTTAGCAGGATATTGGTTATCATCTTTTAGGCAACAGGAAGGAGTCCTATGCCCCTGTAATTCCTACACTTGGAGCCATTCTTTAGGTTAGGACAGATTAGGCCCATTTCCAAGCCTCTGGTGTCCTTTCGTCCTCCAATATTTTCTGGATTACTAATAGCAGTTTGGGTCTTATGTCTTTCCCCCCAACAAAACTTCTCCCCCCCCCTAAAATTGTGTATTTTCTTATAATTATATAATTTACAAAAGTTTTAATCTGGAAGTTAGTTGACTGTTCTACATATCATAGGTGATAAATGGTTAGGACGCAGTCATTTTCAGATTTTTATTGTTGCCGACGTTTAAACCCAAGCAAGTGGGTCATCATCAGAGCATCTACCCCAGTGTTAGGGGGTGCATTTTATGAAAATAATGTCGGATTTGAGATTGCGCCCCCTGGGCCTCGACTTTTTGGATTAAATCGATATCAGGGTCGACTATTATGTTTCAGGGGGCGTGTTTTATGATAATGATGTCGATTTTGAAAGAGCGCCCGCCTAGGCCTCGACTGTTTGGATTAAATCAATATCAGGGTCGACTATTATGTTTCAGGGGGCGCGTTTTATGATAATGATGTCGATTTTGAAAGAGCGCCCGCCTGGGCCTCGACTTTTTGGATTAAATCGATATCAGGGTTGACTATTTCAACACTACGCTATTTCAAAATCGACAGCATTTTCATAAAAAGTGCCCTCCTAAACTTAAAGAGTCGAGGCCTGGGTGGCACAATATCAAATTGGACAGTATTTTTATAAAAAGTGCCCCCTAAAACTTAATAGTCGACTCTGATATCGATTAAATCCGAAAGGTGACAAAAAAAAAAATTAGATTATATAAAATAATAACATATTTTTTTTTTTAAATTACTCATAGGCGTTAAAATGTTTCATGAGTGATTTACTCAGGGAGATAACATTTTTCATGAGTGATTTACTCATGGAGGAAAAATGTTTCATGAGTAACTTTCAAATTTACTCATGGCGAAGCTTCTAAGAGTGATCACTCGTGATGTCACCGCTGGACATTTACTCGAGTAATTGCCCCTCACTGATGTATGCTCACTGAAGGTATTCAAGTAGTGGCACTTAGGTAGGTAACTGTTGGGTTGAAACTTTGGCAACAATAAAAATCTTAAAATGACTGTGTCCTTACTATTTATCACCTATCATCAATGAAACCATAAATTCTCTTCACGCATATACAGATATGTATTATATTTATTTATAGAAATTAATCATGACAAGAAAATTAATGCATTTATAATTATAAATAATTTATGAAATATTTAATATTCTTGGAATTTTCCAACCTGTTATTTGGGTACACTTTTAGGCATCGGCGGAAGTATTCACAAGCCTTAAAATAATCTTCTTTTGAGGGGTTATTTTTAAAAAATGAGAGCCCCGCCTTTAAATCGACCATGAGCTGAAAAGTTAAATATTTTCTATCACTGTTGTGAAGGCTTAAAAACAGCTTACTGGAAGCCTAAAAAAAGGAAATAAAAGTTAGATGAAGCCAAATTTAATATTAACAGTTATGCAATTAATAAATCTTCAGTAAATTAAAAGACAATAATAACTAAAGACACATATAATCTTTAATTTAAGACATCAATGTTCAAACTATATCTACATCTTGCTTTTACGTGACTAAAGAATGCTACAGGGAAACTCAGATAATACAATTAATTTTACGGATGATTGAAAATCTGTATCTTAAAAAAAAATCAGCTTCACTCAACATAAGCGGTTCCCCAGTATTAAGGTGTGCCACAACTGTATCTCCTCTCTCCTATTTCATGCCATCTTTGGAATAATTAATCACTTGCCCACTGTGGCTCTATGGTTTGCCTTCAAAATATTTTTATAACCTTTGCCACACTAAAATATTTTCAACCTCATCAATCTCTTTGTTTCGGGGTAGCCTTTTTTGTCATTTTTTAAAAGGGATTCATCACTATGGTATTCTTTCAAAGTGATCTGTTAACCTAAATTGAAACTTTTTAATATATGTTACTAAATAACGTTATTGAAAAATGCGCCAAAGTTCTTTGTTCTTCCTTAACTTCAACAAACAAGTCTGTCTATCCTTCTGAATACTTTTCATTCCCCTACATTCAATAAACTTTCAGTTACCTTGGTAAGTACCTGGTTTCACAGCCATATATCACTATTACTCATAAGAAAGTCTTCTATACAAGATCTTAGCTCTGCTACTTAAGCTCTGAACTGTATTGATTTCTGTAGGGTGAAGAAATATCTATTTGCAGCTAGTAGCACATTTATTAATTCCATCATTCATTTTTCTCCATAAAAAGTGGTCCTAAATATTTGAATTGGTTTACATACCGACCAAGTCTTATTTCCAGTTCCACTCTTGTTGGTCATCTCGAGGTCTTCAAATACACAGCTTTCATTCATTCATTGCGGGGCTCTACAGTCCTTAAAGAACCATGGCCTCTGCTAACTTCTTCTTCCACATATCCCTGTCAGAAGTAAAGTGCCTCCATCACTTTACACCCATCTCCTTTAGGTTAGGATATACAGCCTTATTCTCATTTATTTGTAGGCCCAATTTTAGCAATCTTGCACTTTTTGAAGACACCCAAAATAGCTGCTTCTGATCTCACAGTTAACACATTGTCAAGATATACTAAATGTTTGGCAAGCTACTTTAAAAGGAGCTATTTGTACCTGTCCAAATTACAAAAATCATAATAAAGTGCTTGTTTTTTAACTTTTGTAAATTTTAGGAATATGCCTACATAATAAAATCAATAAAAACCAAATGGCCAAATAATATTAGTGGCATTAAATGGCCAGCCAGATGCCTAATCTAAATCCAAAATATCCAATAAAATAATTATCTTTATTATCATCATATATATATATATATATATATATATATATATATTATATATATATATATAATATATATATATATATATATATATATTTTTCTTACAAATTTGCCACTTTTCTATTTATGTCCATATATCACTTTTTTCCTCTTTGGTATACCTTAAGTTCACTTAGCTACTACCACCTGATTTATTTATTTTTGTACTTGAAAGCCTTCAGTGCTCGAACCATGCCCTGAAGATGACCCACATGTTTGGGTTGAAACGTTGGCACAAATAAAAAATTAAAATTTTTTTAAAAGACTGCGTCCTGAATATTTATTATCCCAAAGTTAAGCAATACTTTTTAGAGCTAAGTGGCCAAGGAACAGTCTATTCACTCATAGTTACCATCTATCATGAGAAAACTTGGTATTCCAAAACAAAATTTGAACTGGAAGGATATTTCAGGATATTAAATAAATGTTATACCTGGCTAGACTAACTTGCTCTTAATTTTAAAGATAGACTGGGTTTTAATAAATATAAAAAATATCATGCTTAGTGCAAAATATCATACATTTTTCATGCATCTATCACATTGCAAAATAGTGGTGCTTTTAACAATTACAGGTTTTAAAGAAAAAAAATGTTAAACTAATTAAGAAATAAGCATCAAATAATAAAGAAAAATTGATTAACTAACCGGATCATCCAATGCTAAGATATTGGCATAATAGTTAATTGATGTCCACAAATGAGGATTATAAAATAATGCTATTTCAAAATATAGCTTGGCTTTCGATAAATCATTGTTTTTATAAGCATGAATTCCAAGCCACTCATACAGAAAAACACAATCTGGAACCATTACAGAAGCCTATAAAAAGAAAAAAGATTAATGAAGAAATCTGCAATGAAAAATTCATAATAAATTTTATACTTACATTAAATAGCATTGCTCAAACAAAAGTTAAATCAATAGAGATATTTAAATCTATATAAAAAACAATTCAATCAGTCGACTCCACCCGACAGTAATACATCGAAAATCTGACGGCTCGATCTAATTTATTCTCCACAAAAAGTTCAAAACACGCCTAAAGAAGTTTTCGCTTCAAAAATTAAATTAAAGATGTATAGATATGAGTGAGTATGGAATAATTTAAACCGATTTTGGAGGAAACTAACAAAATAATCCAATTTATCTTCATGTTACATAGATAGACACATATTTTTTTCTCTAACATTTGGATATTAAATATACCACAAAAATATAAAAACCCACAAATCTTTATTTATTACAACTATGGGGATGCCATCTGCTAATTTAATTGTATAACTGTAATTTACATGTACTCTGCACTTCAAATTTTATCATTTTTTATCAACATAATATAAACTGAACGAAACCACAGAGTGAAGGAGTGCCTGAGAATGAATCTCGTATCCATCCCACTTTGTGTATGTAAAGTAAAATATTGGCCACTAAAAACTTTTTTATATAATAGAGAGATTTATTTATTTAATTTCTCTCTCTCTCTCTCTTTCCTCCATTTCGGTTATCTACTCTTTATATTTTTTACTTTGAGTTAATATCATGCCATTTACTTCATAGACTTTTATTCTTAATTTATCATACCTTCCTCTCCCGTTCTTAAGTTTTTTTTCTAATTCTTTATACTTTTTAATTATTTCTCTATTGTATGATCTCTCATTTTTATTGTTTATACTTACATTCAACTTTTATGTATGATTTTTCATTTTTATTTTGTATTGGCATTGTACTTTTATCTATAATTTCTCAATTTTATTTCATATGTAAAATTGTATTTTTCATAAATCTTTTTCTTACCAGATTAATTTATTGTTTGTTCCCCTTCCCACATTATAGTTACCTATATGTTTCTCTGATATAACTTATTACTCATCTAAGTTTATACTTACACTGAACCTAAAATAAGATTAAAAAAAAAAAAAACTATATATATATATATATATATATATATATATATATATAAAAGATATTTTGACTGATAAGGTTTAATATGAGTTCATATGTTAAGGAAACACAATTTATATCAACTTTATGATTAACTGGTTTCTGTTCCAAGTAGATGTGGGTGAATTCGGAAATGAGTCTTTTTTCATTGTTAGGGACTGTATGTAGCAAGGATGGAGGTTTTTAAAAATAAAAACAATGGTTAAGAGTCAAGGCATGTTCTGACAGTTCGGAAGCAGAAGGATTCTGGGAAGCTATGGATGTTTTATGTAGAGAGATACGGGTTTTGAGAATTTTTTAAATCTTTCCTTAAGATTTGTCAGATTAAAAATAGAAATATCAACTTTATTGTGGGACTATCTCCCTTAAGAATAACAATATTATACATACAAAGTAGTATTACATCTGGCAAAAAGATCTAATAAAATAATATAGCAGATATAAAATATGAATTTAAATCATCTGATGAAACTGGAAAGATTGATTACATTCATGATTATGTATACCATCCATCCTCTTTATTACATACAATTTTTTTTATCTACAATTATTGTTACCAATTTTATTTACTTTATTTTAGTTTCTAGTTACTTAGTTATACTTCATTTACTCTGTTTATATATTTTAATGTTCTTAATACTTTTTGTACTTTTTATTTACACTGTTTATAATTTTTATCTAAATATCATGTAACTCCCATAATTTTCTATATCCTTTTGTACCTTGTTCATTCTAGCCCTGGCGAAGACCTGCATAGTTAAGTCAAATGTTGGCTTAAAATAAAATAGTTTTTCACTACTTTAAGTTTTTTTATGACTGCCACCCTAGACCATCTATTTTCTCAATCAACAATCAACCTTGAGTACTTAACAAAAGTGTTATTGTTCATAAAATTAAATTTTTACTAGTATTTGAAGAACCAATTAAAAACTATTTCATACAGATAATTAAAATAAAATAGTTTTTCACTATTTTAAGTTTTTTTTTATGACTGCCACTATGGACCATCTGTTCCTTCAATAAAAGTTTTAGAGATATTTTTTAAATAAGAAATGGTTCATATTTAGTAACTGTATCTGTATTATAATTTAAAAATATAACATATAAAGTATTTAGCTTGGATCATTCACAGTAACAAGTATGGACAAATGAAAAAAAAAAAAAAAAATCCATTTTGGGAGGGGAGGGCTTCAGCCCAAACTTATTTGAAAAGACCATGTTTAGCATTTATTAAAATTATGAATAAATTTACAAGTTAAAATTCAGATGGTGGGGCATTGTATATGATGATATATTAATCTTTTTTAATAAGTTATACACAGAGTTGCCAAGAAATACAAAAGAAAAAGTTGAATATCTCAATAGTTTATCATTGAAAAAATTTAAGACTTAAAATAGCATATGTATTAAGGAACAGTTGTAGTTAAAAATATCAAAATCAAGGGTTTAAACAGCTTAATGATTTAGGCCCATTGGTGTTTTAGCTATAACTCAAAACAGATAGAAAAAATGGAAGGGTTATAAATTGGCAAAATTCAAGACTTTCTCAATATAGAATGTTTTAATAAACATTGAATATGATCATGAATAACATCACCTAATAAAACAAAAAACAAGTACTACTATGAATTAAATAAAGATAATCAAAATATACAGTTACCTTGTAAAAACTTTTAAGAGCTTTGTTTTCTTTTTCAAATTTGAAAGATAATATTGCAGAATATAAATGTGTATTCCGTAGATGCTGTATTTCCTTTAAATACATTATCTTATCAGAATATGATTCTGTTTTTAAAGCACACAGGAATATTACATCATTTATAGCACCAAGTCTTACAAGTTTATGAAGACAATAATTCAATATTTTGTTTTCATTTAAACGTATGCAGGCGATAGAAGCATAAAACAGTGTTCGGACATTTTCTGATTTCAAATTAATCAGCTGGAACAAAAAAATAAAATTAAAACAACTGATAACATTTAAGAACATTTCAGAGAAATAATAACATACTTCATGTATTTAGGGCTCCCCTGTGGGCATGGGGGTAAAGTAGAACCACAGTATTTATTGCTTATCATAAAAGGTGACTAAAGGGACAATTGTTTTGTTTTTTTTACCCTCTATCTCGCCATTTCAGGCATACGGAGGAGGGTTTTGGGGGATACAACCAAATCTATTAACCAGAGTGGGAAGATTAAGATTCATTCTGTGGTTCCGCCATAAAATAAATTTCATCTCTGCCAGGCTGGATTCGAACTGGCGCTGCTAGATTTGAGAATGATTAGTGGGCAATGCTTTAATTTAACAGGCTCAGCCACCAAGATCTCTTCTGAAGAAACAACTTTCTTTTTTTTTCATCGATTATTTCTTACCTCACCATTCTGGTATAGGGGAAGGGCTATTCTTGTGGTATAACCAGAGAGGATAGGTCAAGATTCATTCTGTATGTTTGCCACAAAATGTATTTCAATCTGCCCAGCTCACATACTTACCGGTGCCACTAGATTCCAGAATGTTGAAGAGGGCAAAGCTTTAACAAGCTTGGTCATCACAGTCTCTCTAAAGGAACAATTGTTTGCTGATATCCTGACAAAAACCCTCTGTCTTCCAAGTTGGAGATTGGGTACTGGGCCAACCCTCTGGTCCCATAAAAACCATATTGTTACCAACTCACAAAAAAAGAAATAGCTGTTCTGTTTTAGGAGTAAGACCTATAAACTTTTGTAATTGGAAACGAACTTGCATATTGAAACATGGAACATTAGAAGTATGTCAGGAGTTAGTAGAATGCTAGAACAGGATCTCTTGAAAGATGAATTGGACATTGTAGCCCAACAGGAAATTACAGAGAAGGATGTAGAAGTTGTGATTTTGAAGAATTACACTCACTTCAACAGTGGCAGTAATTTTAATTAGAAGTTCTACCAAAGTTTTTAATAATAATTGAAATGACATGGAAGGAACTTAAGTCTCAGGTAAGAGTTGATGGAGTCCTATCAAATAAATTGGAAGTCACTGGCTGACAGACAAGTCGACCCACTCCCGCCAGAAGTATTTAACCTGGCCCTCTAACAAATGATCAGAACGAATACCAGAGAAAATATTTATAACATATGGCATATGCAGAACGTATAACCATTACAGTGCCCACATTTCCGGGTCTTTCAGAAGACTTGGAAGAGTTTAAAGTCACATCAGCAAGTCATAAAATAGAAAATAAGATTTGATTTGATCCGCAAAAACCACCATTAACCAGGGTTTGAAATCGATAATTAGTTTTTCAACAAAATCAAGTAATAATTATTAGACTTGATTTTAAATTTAAAATCAATATAAATATAAATCGTGCCTGATTTATACATACAAATTTAAATTGATCTTTGATGTTTATTTATTTGATTAAAAATAAAAACTCCTCATGGAGTACTTTATATAAATAATAATGATTAAATTGTGATCAAAATAATTGTTATCAGAAAATAAAAATCACCTTTTACACACAAATCAAATAAAATATTTATAATATATACATGGGGGCTGGGGTAGCTTTGCAGGCTAAGACGCTTGCAATAGGTAATCAAAGTTAAGCAAACACCGAGCATAGCACTTGGATGGGTGACCGTCCACCAAGGAAAGCCATGCTGCCCAAGATTCCTCCCTCCCCCGGGTGGGTATGTGAGGCCTGTCAGTCTACTGAAGGCAACTCATACCGACCAGGCGTAGGATTGATGACCCTAGCCTGTACTTTAAATCGGGATGTGGTCTAGGAGACCACACCCGCGTTCAAAGATTTTCATGGTCTGTAGCGCCAACCGAAAAAAAACAAAAACAATATATATACATGATTTGGATGACCGATCACAAGAGAAAGCCACGCTGCCTGGGACCTCCCTCCCCCTCCCCCCCGAGTCCCATCACACTACTGGAGGCAACTCACAACAACCGGGCGTAGGACTGATGACCCTATCCCGTGAACTTAAGTCAGGAATCGGGATGTGGAATAGAAAGATCTACAAGATCTGTAAAGCCAACCAAAAAAATAAATAAATAATAATATATATTATTTTATTTGACGCGAAACAGCCCTGAAGGACTACGCGACTATGAAACTGGTTTCTTTTCCAATTTATTCCTTTCTGCCCATCTCTGCTTGAGGATATCGCTAAATTTTTTCTTCCTCTCCTCCATCCACTTCCTCCTGGATGGAAGTTCCTTACTGTCCACCAGATGTACCGCACTTTTCAGAAATCTTCTCGTGTTATCCCAAGCTTCTGTATTTCCTGTTTTATTTGTACCGTATATCCATGGTTAAACTTGTATCCCATAACCCTACTGAAAATCTTCTTGTTTAACCTCTCCTCGGTCATCCTTTGCATGTGTCCATAAAACCTAAGTCTTCTTATCCTCATTTCTGTTTCCAAATCAGAGGTTTCACTGTAAATTTCCTTATTGGATTTCAGTCTGTATCCTTCTGGTGTTATTTTGAGCCCATGGATTCTTCTAAGAATCCTTCTTTCTATTTTCAGCAGTTTCTCCAATATATATATATATATATATATATATATATACAATCTTTTTTTGTAAGCCAAAACTTCTAATAAATTTAGGAAATAAAGATGTTCTGTTGCTAATAGTTGACAAAAATATTCTCCACCTATTACTCCTGATTATATCTATATTTCTGATTTAAAAAATTACTACTCAAGAATTATTATTATTGTTAATTGTAAAAATTTTGTTCAAAAATAATGAACAGGATATGATTTTTATCCCTAATAATCAAAAATAAAAATTGTTCTTAATAAAAATCATCAAATGATTTTTGAAAATTCCAGATAAAAATGTTGATCAGATTTGATTTTGATTTTTTTAATTATTGATTTCAAACCCTGCCATTGACAAGACCATAAGATTGGTGATAATGTATCAGCTGATCCTGAAGGTTTGGGAATGAAAGATCTTCGACCACATAAACAAACAAGGAAATTGGAAAAAATAGTGAGTTTGAACAGCTTTTTGGTGAGCCTAATGTGATGTGGTCATCAAAAAAAGAAGAATATGGTGGCTTAGCTATATGAAAAGGATGGCAATGAGATGCTACCAATGATGATGAATGGTAAGACAGGCGAGGCGGAAAGAGATTGGATGGGAGACCAAAGCTAAGGTGGTAAGATGGTATGGAAGACTACCCCTGGCCCAATTAGGGCTATAAAACCATTTAGTAAGTAAGTAAATTTTCTGTATATTGAGAGAGCAAACCATTTAAGATTAATAATATAATTAAAACATTGCAGCTTTGAAGATTTCAAGTAAAATAAATAAATTGAAAAAAAAAGAACAATAGATAATGAATATGAATAAAGTCAGTTCTGAACTTATGACTACCTCAATTTATGACCATTAAGACTTACAAAGAAGAAAAAATTAACTTTTAATGATAGCAGTGGAGTGAGTGAGCGGTAACTCGGCATACTAGGCAACGAAGAAGCTGATAAACTAGCCAGATTGGGCTCAGATACCATTCCAGTAACTTCCGAGCCTGTTTGTGGAACCAGCCTTAGCCCTGCCAAGAGTAGGATCAGGGAGATTTATTGGAACAAATTTAATAATTACTGGACTGACAAGAAACAGCGACATTCGAAGCTGTTTCTTAAAGGTCCATGTGAAAAAAGAAGCAAACTGCTACTGAGTATGGACAGAGCAGCTCTTACAAAGCTTACAGCAATCTATACAGGTCACTGTAAGCTAAATTACCATATATTCAATTTCCGAGGAATGACAAATCCGCTATGCAGATTCTGTCAGGAGGAGAATGAAATAGCCTTTCACATCGTGTGAAGATGTGATAGATTTAAAAGGCTGAGACTGGCACTATTTGGGGAGGAACGAATGGATCTCCCCAGTAGAAATGAGACGGTCAATCCAACCTGCCTACTAAGATACGCGGAAGCGACTACAATAACCTTTTTGATTAAACGAATAACTGAAATTGGCGCACAATGGACCCAATTGGGATCGACGTGCCTTGAGCCAACATTAAAAAAATAAATAAAATAATGATAGCAGTATTTTTACCAACAGTTTGCACACACCAAGCATATAACATGGGGATGCAATTGATTTCCTCAAATATAAGGATGTTCCAATAAATTTGGGCTGCTAATGTCCTATTAGTTAATCAATGTGAGTGCAGCTGTTCTTTTCTAGTAGCTTAAATTTAAAATTTCAATGTGTGTCTATAAAAAAAATTTCTGTTTTTTTAATGAATAGGAAAAGCAATAAAAATAAGAGAAAATCAATTGACCTAGAGATGAAAAATAAAATAATAATAATTGCATTTTTGACAACTAAAAAAATCTGTATTTTATCAAATTATATTTTATAGGAATCCTATAAAAAAAAAGTAATAATTTTAAGGAATGAAAAAATTGGAAACTTCGACTAAATCTGTTAAGTAATTTTAAAATTAAAGTTTGATAAGTATATAACTTCAAATATATTATTTATTATATATACCTGTATTGAGATATTTTTGAGATACATATTTTTAACATCTATAAAATTAGCATAATAACAACACTGGTAATACCTTTAAACATAAAATCAATCCAAATTTTTGCATTAAACTATTGCAGCTATGTGTCAAGAACTTTAAAAATAATTCAAGATGCAACATAGAACAGGATTTGCTTTCATACACTACACCGTCTATGTTATTTAATGCAGAAACATGTTCATTTAGGGCACATAATAATTTGGTCCATGCAAATTCAAAATCTTGCAAATGAATATAACTAGAAATTCTAATTAGGTTTTGTTTCCAAGCCCAACTTTCATCTGAAAAAGAAAAAAGTTATAAAATTCCAATTAATATTTTAGCTATAGAAATTCCAGACTATAATTGTACAGAGATGAGAAACTACATTTATCCTTAAAGCTTATTTTAATTGTTACTTTGTGAATTCAAATCTGACTTTTGTCATAAATAATAATATTATTTGTATGGAGCATAACATAGAGCTCCTAAAGAGGAAACCATAGAATTACTACTGAAATTCAATATTCTGGCTAAACGCAGAATTTTCTATATTTTAGCAAAATTAATAATTTCGGAGGTTTGCCTATGGTTTAATTTACAGACTAGGTTATGTTTTTAAGAGTATAGACTAAACTTCTGATCCTTAAATAGTATCTAATAATTTTACTATGAATTGGTTATTTGTCCTTATAATCACTTGGATCCCTATGATCACACGTGACCAAATTAGTAAGTATTTTCTTTTTTTTAAATTGCTTCCATTTTCATATAAATTTGAATGTTTTTTTTTTATTACTACCACTAATAGAATTTTTTCTTTTTCTTTTTTACTCAAATTCTGAAGATATGAAAATTAATGGACAGTGGTGATCGAATGACAGTGGTGATCACGAACCTGTACAAAATACTTAGTCATTAAATTGCAACACAAATGAAAAAACTACTGATATATCTGAAACTAAACTGAAGATTACGGATTGCACAACAATTTAATGTAACTTTTTTGATTTCTTCGGTGTTAAGAGAAATTATGTTATGAGAGGTGTAGTTTTAAAAAACACTACCAATTTTATGATTATGCAAAATAATATCATACTTCCTTGCTCATTAGTTTGTTTTTTACTTTCATTTACCTATATATGTAATATATAGTAAGAGAAACTATTACGAATGTGAAATTTTTCAATCTGAGTTTTCAACGGAAATACACGTTTCGAGGAACCCGAGTCCAAATAACTAAGTCCCCCAAAATGGTCTGTGTGTGTGTATTTTAACAGTCTAGCTCATAAAATGAAATGTCGTACGAAACCGGTATTACGTATTTAAGACAGGTATATGCCTTAGATGTGACTGCAGCTTTTTCCTTAAAATCGGCTAACCGGAAGTGCCAGCCACTTTATATCAACGGTGAAACAAATTTTTACAATTTTGTCAAAAACGGCTCTAACGATTTCGATTAAACTCGGTGTATGTATCACTTTATAATTAAGTGGTCTTTAATATCAATTCGGTCTTATACCCATTGATGTCACTTTACAGAGCTTAAATGCTCATGTTCATTGTTCAATGTTCATTTGCATCTTCCTCTAAAGTACCTTTTATATAGTTTATTTTAAATAATTAACTATCTCACATTATTAAGAGTTACGAAAAAATGCTAAATATAACTTTTGAAAGAATTTGATAATTGAATAAATGAGAAAAAAATAAAAATGCTTATCCAGGTCGAAAATGAATCTCCAGAAATACTAGTCAGAAGGTATACGTATAATATATCGTTGGAAAGCGGAGAATTTGAGAAAAAAACAATATCTAATATAGAAAGTTGTAGAAAGTAACGGAGAGTGACGAAAAATTATAAATAATAATTTGTGAAAACTAATATTATTTAACGTAAATCACATGTTTTCAAGGAAATTAAATGAAATTTACTAACTAAATGTAAACTTTTAAAATATTTTTAAGTTTGAAAAAAGTATTTAAAATCCACCTAATCAAGGCAATGACATTGTTTAAAAAACTATTTCATTGTACTTGTGTGAAAGAAGAAGTGAAATATAAAATCATTTCATGGATGTATAAAGCATATGTTTATAACCTTAAATACATTTACTGTAGTTTAATAATTCTAGATCTGATATTATATTTAAATAATTAGGTATCAACGTTCGTTTATTCCCAAAAATCGTCATGTAAGTTTTTAGAAAATTAAATTAATGAATAATTTGATGAATTTTACTTTTGTGAAACCCAACATTGTTACGTCTTTCTCTAACGTACCTTGAATTTGGTTTATTATAAACAATAACTATTTCTCATTGTTAGGAGTTATGAAAAAATGCTAAATATAACTTTTGAAAGAATTTGATAATTGAATAAAAGAGAAAAAAATAAAAATGCTTATCCAGGTCGAAAATGAATCTCCGAAATACTAGTCAGAAGGTATACGTATAATATATCGTTGGAAAGCGGAGAATTTAGAAAAAAACAATATCTAATATAGAAAGTTGTAGAAAGTAACGGAGAGTGACGAAAAAATTATAAATAATAATTTGTGAAAACTAATATTATTTAACGTAAATCACATGTTTTCAAGAAAATTAAATTAAATTTACTAACTAGATGTAAACTTAAAATACTTTTAAGTTTGAAAAAAGTATTTAAAATCCACGGATTTAAGGCAATGACATTGTTTAAGACACTATTTCATTGTACTTGTGTGAAAGAAGAAGTGAAATATAAAAATATTTCATGGATATGTTTATAACCTTAAATATATTTACTGTATTTAATAACTCTAGATCTGATATTATATTTAAATAATTAGGTATCTATCGTCCGTTTATTCCGAAAAATCATCATGTAACCTTTTAGAAAATTAAATTAGTGAATAATTTGATGAATTTTCCCTTTGTGATACTCCAACAGTATCCACTTACAATTAGTGTGACAACTTTTGACTCTATGACAGACAATGCAAATCTCTTAATTCTATTTTAGTAAACTTTGCAATGGAAAATAACAGTTTAATAACTAATAGTCGTACAATCCATAATCAACGGATCGTACATTCCATAATCAACTGGTGATATAATAACTAGGACTTTTCTCCTATATAGGCTGAAGAAAGAGAAGATTGACAAATGGCAACAGCACTGGAATATAACATCGAACAGGAGGTCTACTAGTGTCTTTTTTTTTAAGATTTCCACCAACGCTCGTTGAAAGAAAACAAAAACATGTATAATTTTTAGAGATTTATTTAATTGGAGAGATCTTAAATCATGTATTTTCATTGAAAACTCTGATTCAAAATGTTTCACAATTTCAATAGTTTACCTAAATATATATTTAATAAAAGGTAGGTAAAAGAAAAAAAACAAAGAAATTATATTTTTTCCATAGATCTCAAAATTTAGTAAATAATCTTTTAGTTTCAGCACAGCTATGTGCATCCAACTGGTGTGACCGATGATGTCTTAAACATATTATTGATGATTTAGTTAAGGATTAAAAGTGAATAATAATTCTAAATATTTTTATAATTTTAAATAAGCAAAGTAATAATTAAAAATATCAACAACAAAAAGGCACAAATGTAAGTCACACTCAGAAGATAAATTCATTAAGTTTATGTCAAATGTGTTTATCAAAAAAAGGCAATGATTCGAATTTATAAATTATTAAATATATGATTAATAAAACAATACCTTTAATATACCTTGGCCCATAGTCACGAACTCTTGCGAAATCATTAAATGCATATGAAATAGCTGAAAGGAGAAATCCAGCTATTGGTTTGAAATCCCGAGTCGGGTTACAAAATACATTTATTTTTGCACCCTCATCAATCAAGGTTCTCGATAAATAACAGCATGGATCCAGGTTATTCGTGAATAAAAAATCAATGAGATCAATTATGAACTCAGGATTAGCAAAGGTCAAACTTCTAATAGATTCCGATGTTCCTGAAATAAATTTATGAGTATGTCTAACAGCAGTAAGATAATACAAAAAACTCAGAGCTTCGGAGTAAAACAGTTGGTCTTGACTAGCACTACTGTCACAATACAAAATAAATGATGCTACTGCCTGAAACAGAAAAGTTGAAAACAAATCTTTTACTAATGTTTTTAACTAACAAATAATTTTTTTTTTAAATTAAAATAAAATTTTATTTATTTTGTAATTAATACCTATTTGATTTCAATAAAAAAAAAAATCTGTACTACTTTAACTCATGAAGGATCTTGGGTTCAACACTTGGTAAGAAAATATTGTTACTTGAGCAGTGATTATTTAAGGTGTTGTGGATATCATGAACACATAACCGTTTATCCTCAGCCCAACAAACAGCCAGGTGCCCACTTTATAGATGTTGGGTTTACACAGTTCAATCACTTATTAAAAATAATTAACAGTTTTAATTGATTCACCCTTATAAAATGATAAATGAGAATATTGTTGTACAGAAAAAAAACACAAAAAAGACAGGAGACTAAAGGGTCATTACATGTCAATTCAACACAAGATCTGAACCTCATTAACTCAGATTTTCTTAAAATTCAGTACTACTTGCAGAGACTTGAACTTGGAGTGTCTACAAATTTAAGTTTATTGGGAGATTTTAGACACATCTGAATTCACAGATATGTTTAAATAGTTTAGGAGATAAAAAAAAATGGTATTGGTTATTGGGCAGTAGGAAACATTACTATTGTACAGATTGAATATTCAATTCAAGAAGTCTATGCCAAAGCCGTAATTTTTGTGAAAATTCACTTTGACCAAGCATTACCTATTAAATGAACAAAATAATTCCCAAAAATACTTACATAAAAAATGTTTGGCAAAAGTTTTCTATGGATTCAGATGTGCCAAAGATTTTCCAAAATATTTAAATTAGCAGAAACTGACAGACCACATTGCTGTCTATAATGATAAACAGATTCTGTAACTTGATGTAGTCAATGTAATATTGGACTTATTATTTGAACCCTTATTGTGGTTTGTTTACAAGAAAATATAAACAATAGCATTATCATAATAAATTATATGAATGAAGTTTAAATATATATTAATGTATAATTATAGAAATATATAATTTCAGATAAAATTGAAATTTTTAATTTGATTTTGAAAAAAAGATGTTCTTATATTAACCTAAACAGTGTTATATATCATAGCAAAGAGCATTTAATATTTTGCACAATGATATTGATCCCAGACCTCTAGCTAAATTATAAAAGGTTTTATGGCAATTTTTTTCTGTTTTTGTGTCCATTTATGAGTTCTAATTTAAAAAGGAGTAGACTTATCTATGTAAAATTTAATATTTGTTGAAGTCTCTACAAGTCGTACAATTGTGCCGAATTCCAAGAAAATCCAAAATAATGAGGTTCAGACCTTGTGTTGAATTGACATGGAATGACCCTACAGCTTCATATAGGTAAGTAATAATTTAACTCATTGTTTTTAGGGAGAAATATGAAGTTATGGAATAAACTTTTTTGAATTTGCACATCAAGATATTGTTTTTTAAAGTGATCCATAAAAGGATTTTATCATAAGCTTGTAATTAAACGACATACCTATCAAATATAGTTATTGTTTAACAAATACAAATACTATGGTACCTTCCCTTTAACGGAGGCCACTTGTCTTTTATTTGTTTACACTAAAAAGTTCAATTTTCACAAAACGGAGATGAATGATAGTATGTTGACAAAGCAGAAAAACAAAGCGTGACACATGATAACACTGCAGTGAATATTTGGTGGGATATGTCACCAAACTAGAGAAGCAATTACAGCTACTGTACTAGATAGATCATTATCAATTTTAGCAACAGCCATTGTAAGCAACATAAAACCAGGAATGACGATACTGTACTAACTTAAGGGCTTTGATCACTTTGAGGTAAAACACAAATACAATTTTGTAGACCCTGAAACTGGCATATACACGCTAACAATTAAAAGAATGTGGGACAGCATCAAGTGGTGTAACAAAAAGCACAGATGTACAGGTACATCCAGCTGAATTGTTGTAGCACTAACAAATCAACAGTGAGCCTTTCAAAGAAATATTATGTGGAATTAAAGAATACTAGCCTCCATAAATCAACTGTTAATGTACGTACAAACCAATGTCAATACAGCAATTAATTTGTAAAGTAATACCAATCAATATGTGGAAAAAAAGTGGTCCCCAGTTAAAGCGAAGTATCAGTATTATTAATTAATTAAACAGATTAAAAACATGAATGTTTAATAGTTATTTCTTATACTAATTAAACTTATTTCACTGGATTTTGTAACACATTTCAGAACATGACTAATGAGTACTGTACGATGAATTAAATGAATTATAAATAAAAATTTAACTCACTATATCGGGTATAATACTATTATATTCAATACTAGGCTTCATGTTTATGGTTTGGCTTAATAAATAATCAAATATGACATTGGCTAGGAAAGATTTCTGGTCATTATCATAATTAAAATCCTGCTTAAGAAGAGAAATTATGATCTTAAATGGATTTCTAGAAGTGAAAGATATCTCACTACTCAAAACATATCTTACAGCATCCTTCCACTTATCAACATTCCTGTTAAAAATATTAATCAAATAAGTATGCATAATGTTTAATTAAAAGTATTTAAACAGTTCCAGCTTATTAAAAAATAATAACAATTAGTACATTACCTTTCATTCATGAGATAACCAATGAAAACTGTTTCAAATACATCGCCACTGATGGCTTTGTCATTTCTACAATATTTTTGTAGACCATCCCAAGCTGATAAGCAGTTAGGATTGACAAGGACTGCAGATGACAAATAGAATGTAGCAAAAGGGCCATATTTTCTGCATCTAAATGCTGATGCACCAGCGAATAAGTGCCCAAGCCAATAGTTTGGATAACGCTTCAGGATTTTCTAAAACCATAAAATGTATATGACACATTTTAAAATATCAAGATCTTTTTTATTTACATGGCATATCGACCGCCACACAGCAAAATCCTGTAAGAAAAATTTCTTTGTCACACCAGCAGGTTACCTATAGCAGGTAAGTTCTACCAAGCATTCGTGAATCAAACCATGTCTATACCACGCACCCTGCTCGAGCCGCCTTTACAGCAGGAGACAAAAAAGTGAATAACTCCAGTGATCAAATACTCACTTTCCAGTGAAATGTTTTACTAATTTTCATTTGAAGTATCGTTTCTCTACATTTTGGAAACTGAGTTTGTTCCTGTCATGATTTGATCATTATTAACAAAGTTATGGGTGTTAATACAATAAATTTGATTGCATTTACCCAACTAATACCTGTTTTTCAAAGAAACTAAAAAGCTATAAGTTAGAAGTAATGGCTCTACAAGATTATTTGGCAGCAATATGATCAAAAAAGGTACATAGAGCATTACATCTTTGTCTCAGGAATCGAAACAAAATTTGAACCGAAAAAATAATGCTCATAGAACAAAAATTATGCAGTATTTTTTGTCTCCTAAAAATGTTTAGTTTTTGTTCTTACAGGCTTTTGCAGTGTGGCTGTTGATATACTTTACCACAAGAAACATCAAATTAGTTTGAAACAACTAATACTAAAAGTAGCTTAGGAAATAATTGAATTCTTATTAAACTTGTACGGCACCTGAAAATCATTTTATTTAAAAGTCTATCCCCCTATGAAGATTATAACATCCCTAAGGACTACAATAATTAATTCAAATTCAAATAATAATATCAGTGGAAGAACAGCTGGACCTAGATTTCCGAAAAATTTCAAAATATTTTTTGAAAATGGGATTGAGCTTTTAGAGCTGATTGCAGGCCTGTTTTGGGTTTTCTCTTCTATCGTTTGTACGGCTGTGGGTTCACTAACATTAGAAACTGTTTCGGGCCAAAACAGTTAAATTTTTCCTAAAGGTGCAACCACAATTGCACTATTTGGCAAAAACGGAAAACATTGAGCATGGTGCTGATTTAAGGGAAGACTCTGCAAGAAATACCCAAGTAAATGAAAATAACCGAGTACCAGCAATTATTCAAGACCAAAATAATATAAATCGGCCAACATACGCTAAGATGGCAGTAAATCAACCAATAAGTATGCTATTGTACTATACAATATGCTATTGTACTTCCTACTATAAGAGGAATAAAGCAAAACCAGTACATTGATAGCTTAGCTAAATTAGTAGACCCATTGTGGAGGCAGTGGGCTTTCAAATGTGAATAGCCAATTCTGCTCTACCTAATCCATAGGCACTGTTTGTTACCTTATTAATTAATTAATTTTAAACTGTTAATTATGAAATCTGTTGAGGATAAATGAGATGACGAACAGCAGAAAATTAGTATATGTATTGAAAATAATAACAAATGAACGACTAGCCTAGTGGACGGTGCTGAGACTGTCGGTGTGTCCCTGGCCTGATCGAAGCTCTATTTTTTAAAATTCTAGCTTTGAAGAGGATCCCATCGTTGACTTATAAAAAGAAAATACCAGGATCGAAACGTCAATAAACATAGAAGAAATGAACACTCAATAGTTTATTAAATAATTAATAAGTGACCTTATTCCCAATTAAATAGTTAAGTTTAAATATATATATATCTGTATGTATTTAGTGTTTTTGTTTTATTTTTGTTCCAATATTTTTATTTTAATGAGCATTGTAAATATTTAATTTAATTTTATGGCCACATAGACATTTCCTCTGTATCTATAATTTGTCCTAAAGGGACAAAATTCCCAAGATAATATAAATATATTTTCATTTCATTACTAATGAATCAAAAGGGAAAATAAAACTAAATACCAACGATTCTTTAGAACCTATTCGTCATCTAATAACAGCTAACTATCCACTCACATTCGACAGACTTTGTCTTTTGATGGACATGGCCAAGTTGAAAACAGCTCATCCATTAATGAACTATTACGGCAATTCACCGATGACTTTACAGGTTTAAAAACAATGCTTAAAGAACTTAGAAATAAAATTGAAAATAGAGGTATGAAAATCAGATTTTCGATAATCATAAAATCTTTCGAATCTTCTGGATCATCTGAACCTGAAAATACATTTTCTGTAGTTAGGGACAGTAGTTGCGATGAAAGGGCAAATTTAGATAATGGATAGTACCATACAATGGAACTGTAACGGATTTTTCCAACACCTTGAACACCTTCGGAAGCTGATTAGTGAAGAAAGTCCTCTGTGTTGTTGCCCTCAAGAAATCCACTTAGATGAAAACAACAACATGAAAATAAAGGGATATACAACCTACAGAAAAGACAGAGCGTGTACCGACAGGTCCTTGGGTGGTGTTTCTACATCGGTAAGGGAAGATATTTTCTCTGAAGAGGTAACACTTACAACCCCACATGAAGCCCTCGCAGTTAGACAACACTTGACAGAGAAACTTACAATTTTAACATATACATTCCATCATCTATCCATTGAAGTCATAGAAGAAATAACGTCTCAACTACCCAGTGTACCTCAAATACCTCCTCGGGGATTTCAATGCCAACAGTTCGATGTGGGGCTTACTACTACTACTTTTTGACCATAGGGGCCACAAGATAATATCTTTCTTAGAAATGGACTTAAGAACCACTCTTCTTAACATGGGGGAGTATATATACTTCTGTCCAAAGAGCACTAAATTTTCCGCTATAGACCTCAGTTTGGCCAATGTCAGGCTAGCTCCAAAGATTCATATGAAAGTGATCACTTCCCAATTGTTCTTATGATTAGAATAAACTCATCATCTGATTCAACATTATACACTGCAAGTATCGGACAGCGAATTGGGATGGATTTAGGGAGTCAATAAGTACAAGTATGAGTGATTTGGCTGATGTTGAATAAAGTATAGACGATCAAGTAGATACCTTTAATTATATAATTATGGAAGTGGCCCATCAAAATATCCCACTTAAAAAGCAGAAAAACCTGAAAAGGGTAGTTCCATGGTGGAATAGAAAATGCGAAGATGCTACAAGGGTTAAAAAACGTGCATTCAATAGCTATAGGAAAAACAGAACTCTGGAGAATTCTATTTTGTTCAAAAGATTAAGGGCGATAGCAAACAGAAAAATTAAAGACAGCAAAAAGGGTTCTTGGAGAGTTTGTTTCTTACATCAATAACCTCGCTCCAATAAAGGATATATGGTGGATAATTTAGTTTTCAGGGTTTCTGAAGGAAAGATGGCTGCTAATTATCTCTGAGCTTCCAACAGACTGAAGAATGTTTTTCAACTTGATGAGGATGTGAGAAATCAAAGAGCGGAACACAGTAACCAAACTGCTAAAGCCTCTAATGATTTGGAATAAGAAAAACCAAAGAGTTGTATTTCCTTATTCTCTAAATATTAATGTACCAATGTACCAAAGTATACCTAACTACTATAGTATATAATTTACTTTCACAAACTATTTTGTGACAGATATCTAAGTCTTAAGTGTTGAGACAGTAATGTGTGATAACTTTGTACTTAATAAATAAATAATATTTTGTTCAAAATAAACTCATTTGATGGTTGAATATGGTGTCAATAACTGATTAGTTTCCATGTCGATAATTGGTTTTTGCATGTTAATAATTGGTGAAAACTTGCTATCAGTATTGGAAGCAAAAACTTGAAAACTTTATAGTATTTTGGCCATTATGTAAGGGGAATCTGTATAACAGACTTGGAATAGTATGAAAAACTTTGAAATATACAAATAGGTTGATAAAAAAAAAAGCTTAAGGTAAATTACTTGAAACATTTTTTTAGTGTCAATAATTGTTGACTTTACCCAGCATACTTCTAAAGCAGATAGGTACAAATTTGATTTTAGGCATAATGAAACTTACCACTGCACCCTTAAAAATCTTCTCGAACTGTTTTTGTTTAAACTGTTTTCTTTTTTTTACCACATAATCAATGTCTCTGATGGCAATTTTATTCTCAAATATAACACCCAAGGTTTTAACTTTTTTATTATGGTACTTTGGTGAACATTTGATATCACCCAGACAAGTTACTTTGGGCTCATTTTCATCTAAGGAAAGTTGTGATTTAAGAATAATGTTTAAAATGGGAGGTTTAATCTGAAAATCCATTCTGATAAGGCATCAAATCATCAATTGATCTATTAGAGTTTGCTCCAATAACTTAGTTTTTGTTTACATGTAACTGACCCACTTCAAATACGACACATGCAGATAGTGAGGTTATAAAACCATAGAGCTACATTCTATTTTTCATTCTAAGAAAGTAATAGTAAAAATGACATGAACACTATTGAAGTTTTGGAGAAACTTTTAATGCCATCGTAGATCAAAGGATAAAATGTTTGTGACTCACATGTATATATTGTGGTTCAGGAGAGGGGAATAAAAATTTGTACCAAAATATGAAATATTGTATTCATTGTTTCCGAATACATCATAATCATTATCAAAACTGTAGGAGATTAAATAATAAAGATGAACTAAAAAAATTGTAAAAAAAAAAAAAAACAATCGAGAAGAGTTAAAATACTTGGGAAGCTGCATCTACATATTTTTCATAAACATGAAAGAAGAATGATCTAAACTAAACCAACTATAATAAGAACATAATTTCATCAATGTGCATTAATCCATATTTTAAATTATTATTATTATCATTATTAGTAAGCAATCTGGTTTGTTTTTTAACCGGTTTATCTTAATATTGAGGAATTTACACCAATGAACACTTTCCCTTTTTGTTAATTTAAGAATTTGTATAAAGCAACTTGTCGAGGTAAGTTATTAGAGGATCAGAAGGCCTGAGAGGGCATGTTCAAATTAAGGTAAATTGACTCAGTTGATAAAGGAAAAGGCAACAACACAATGAGCTAAAGTGTCAGGCGAATGAACACCCAAATCACTCTTGGTCTGCGGGCTAAGGGATGGGCTCTATGACACCGCAGGAAGGAATACCACAAACGGAGTGCTGAGTCTCCAGACTTGTGGTGTGGTCCGGACAGTGTGGTGTGAGGCCTGTCCATAAACGATCACCTGAATAATGTTTTGTAAGAATACAGTGCCAACAACTGGGTTCTGTTACTTCCAAAATCTGTACTACGCGGTTGGCAACATAAATCTTAACTTCATGTGGTGGTGTCTTTAACCAATAGAGTACGTTACGAGAATCCGAAAAACAATATACTTCCTCAATTTTCAACTGACTTTTAAGTTTACCACACACGCAATTAGTGTGGAGGCAAGAAGAACAGCGTTTAATTCCAAACGAGGCACTGATTGAACCTTACTTTTTGCCTTTAACAAATGAATTTTGGTAGCTTCTCCTCTACACCCAACTCTCAGGTAGATTACACACCCGCAACCCCTCTCGGAAGTGTCTGAAAAGGCGATTAGTTGCATTGATGCATTCTGGCAGATAATACAATGTGGTAGGTAAACATTTCTCAAGCTCGGAAATTCTTTAAGAAAAATCTTCCACAATGAAGACATACTAGAGGGTAACTCATCATCCCAATCAACCTTAAGCAGCCACAAACGTTGTAATAGACATTTAACGGAAAACATTACCGGATTGATATATCGAAAATTTTGCCAATGAAGGATAGAATACTTCGCTTTGTAAAAATTGGCTCACTTTCCTTTATTGAATACCTGAAATGATCGACTATAGGATCCCAAAACAAACCCAAAACCTCGACAGTCGAGGAATCTCCATCCAGGCATAACGGAGCTTCTTGAGTCTTGAGTCTTCTTCCCAAAATAACTGTAGAATGACTCTCTGAGCAATAAAGGGAAAACATTTCAACCCAAATGGCAAGGTAACCAGCTCATACTCCTGGATTGGTTGTGAAGATTCATTTCTCCAAATAAAAAACGTTATAAGTTTTGATTAGTTTCGGCAATGCGGATACACTTAAACATCATTTTTATATCGCATGTCAAGTTCACAGGAAAGCATCTAAAATGATCTATAAGTTCCGCAATATTAATCTGGAGCTGCGGACCGGTCACAAGCAAATCATTGAGTGAGTTCCCTCCCACCATCTTCTCCGAACCGTTAAATAAGACTCAAAGTTTTGTCATGGAAGAATCTTTAATAACTCCATGATGGTTCATGACGTACGGGGATGGTTTCTTGGCGAGGCGGACATGATCCAGTCATACATATTCGTCTATCTGTGCAGCATATTCCATCAGCACAGCGAAATCTCAAGAGATACGCATATTACCCAGTATTACACATAGTTGAAATGGCTCTATCCATCCTATCGCCGTCAATACTTCCTTTCTGTACCAGATCATTAGAACTCATCAACACTCCTATATTTTCTATAGCTAACAATTTAAATACTCCATCCAATCCCGTCCTACCAGATCTCGCACATCCGACCTCTATCCTCCTCCTCACGGAATTGCTGCGTTTGTCAAATCATTTGCAATTCAAGCCGCCTCCTTCGGGAATTTCATCCCTGCTGATATTTGACACGCACAATCAGTTTTCTCTTTCAAACCACTCCTTCTTAAACACCTAATCATTTCTCAATCCGCCTGACCACGAAATATACTTAAGAGAGTTATTTAAGTACCCCCAGAAAATATTTCTGTTATTTTAGTTTTCTCTGTTTGTGTTATTTAAGCTTTATGTACGATTGTTATGTATGTATATTTACGCTTTTTATTCATTTTTCTCTCTTTCCGTCTGTATTTTTACTTTTAAGTAACCAATATTGTAAATATCTACTTTATTTATGACCACTTACACATGTATTCAGCACTTATAATTTGTTCTAAAGGGGCAACAGTCCCAGAATAATAAAATATATTTTCATTTCATTTCATTTCATATTCAGACTTATACTCCGGATTTCTCCTAAATCTGTTTTCCAGATTTCTAAATCTGCAATTTCTCTAGTGGAATCAATGCATATCGGCTAGTCAGAATGGAACGGAAGCGAAACAACGAATCTACTTTGGAGATCACGAGTGCATGTATTTATAAAGTGATCTTCGCAAAATCCATCTTCAGGATTCGGCGGAATCGAAACAGGGACTTTCTCAGTCTCCCAAAATCGCTTTAATTACTCCTGGAAGGAAGGGCTGGTCTGTGTGAAAAGAGTACGTAATGAAGGTATTGGGTTTTGGCTTTCCGAGAGGGTGTCCCTAAAATAGCCTAATAATCCTAATGAGGTATGAATAGCTTTCTGTTTTGCCCTTAAGAAATATAACAGGATCACTTAAAACCTCACCGTACATCTCAGCCAAGTTCTATTGAAGCAAATTTATTCCGTATTTCTTGGGACACGACAAACGAAGGAAAACTTTCACTGATGTAATACTCTGGCTGAAAACTCATATATATTGCTATTTCTAATCGAACCCAACTTCACTTAAACCTCAGCAGAAGATAAAGATATGGAGGTATTGTCTACTCCAGACACCACAAGAGGACTCCCACGGGAACGAAGGCGTAACTTTTTCATCAGATCAGTGGGAATTAAATTAATTTAGGGACCTGGATCTATCACCATTCTGCATGAATACCACTGACCTGAACTTGAACAATTTCTACTTAAGGCAGTACCCAGAAGTACCTGTGAATTGGTGGTAGCATGTCACGAAACTTCACAAGAATTGTTTGTTACTTGAGACTGAGAGGGCTCAGTGTTTGCAGCCTTATGTAATATCGTATGTTGACTCTTTTTGCCACAAACTTGGCAACAGCCATTACTTTGACAATTTGGGAAGCCATTAGGTCCCGTACAAGAAAAGCATAAATCAGAGTTCTTTGGCAGGTCATCGACCATTAACATCGGCATCTAGAAACTGAGGGCAATTTTTAATTTTATGACTCGATTTACAGACTGGGAATTCCAACTTCTGATTATCCAATTGTGATTGCTAATTATAAATGTTTTTCTTTGGACTTTAGGCTCGGTGGTTTTGGATGTAGAAGGCTCGGAACACATTTCTGCGACTCTAAGTTGTGACCTAACAAATTTGCAAAATTCTTCAAAGTTAGGATCTGTCTCTTCGCTGAGACCATTCTCAAACATTCTTCTAGTATTTGGGTCTACAACGTTCAGTCCAAGATGCAGTAAAATAAAATCAGCGAGGTGAAGGACTTTAAGATTTCTTAAGGCATTGTAATTATCTTCAAATGCATACAGAAAGCTTCTAAAGTTGGATGAACATGATTTAAACCGTATAATTTTATTAAGATAATAGGCCGCAATGATCCTTTTACTACTATAACGCTTCATTAATTTATCATAGATCGAGCTGTAATTTTTTGCGTTAAATTTAATTGAAGAAATGGTCTGTGAAGCAGGATGACTTGAGATATGAAAATTTTACTATATCTGTGTGATTTTGATGATGAATTAAGGCATAAAATAATGATTTAAATAAATGATAAACACCGCTTCAAATTCCTTCAGTTGTGCCTTGATTTCTGAAGCCCTAAACATAAAAATTTCCTTTCTAGCAGGGAGAGCGTTAATCATATCGAAAATGGTTACTTTTGCTCGGCGCCATCCTCAAAGTTGTTGGAAAAAAAAATTCAAATTAAATTTTAATTGCAGAAGGCAAAACCCAATTTTATGCAAAACAAATTCAAAGTTCAGCAAAGCAGGTCTTTTATTCAAAATAAATTCAAAGTTCAGCAAAGCAGGCCTTTTATAAAAAATAAATTCAAAGTTCAGCAATGCAGGCCTTTTATTCAAAATAAATTCGAAGTTTAGCAAAGCTATGACTATAACTCACCAAACCATTACAATAATAACTGACTCTCTAAGTTTTCTAAATGGAATGAATAATTTATACCCGAAACATCCAAGCATCTTAAAAATTCATAAATATGCTAGGAACTCTAGGAAAATCGGAATACTTTATTTGCCGATACTTTAATGGCCGGGAGCCGATCCACGTGGGAATCGTTGGAAATGAGCTCGCGGATGTGACAGCAAAAGAAGCACCTACCCTTCAGGCCGCGGCGCTACCATTTAAACTCCGCAAGGTGTAATTATTTCCCGTAGAAAAGAAATAACTCATAGCTGGCAGTCTATGTGGGATAAGAGTCCGCCAAGCCAATTAAAAGATATTAAAAAAAAAATAATAAAGCCATGTTCAACATAAAATCGTTATATACGCAGAGAAGAGGTTGTCTTAACAAGACTGAGAATAGGCTACACCTATCTTACTCATTCACATCTTATTAGCAAACAGCCACCACCACAATGCCAACACTTCAATAATACACTTACAGACAGCCACATTTTACAGGAGTGTCCTTTTTACGAATAGAGTTTAAATAGTTCAGGACATATACCTCCGATAGCAAACATTTTGAGGGATATCGAAGAAAATGAAGTTAGTGTTAGATTTCTTGAAATCAAACGATTTGTTTAAAACGAAAAAAATTAAAATCTCTTAGAAATTTAAATAAATAAATAACTTTTCGGGTCGGAATTGTATTTATTTATTTAATCCGAAAAGTTATTTATTTATTTAAATTTCAAATATAAATACAATTAAAAGTATTTGTTATTTGGAAAGAGGCAAATAACAAATACTCCCATTTAAATAAAAAGAATTTAGAAAATCTGGATATTTAAAAAAAAAAATCTGTAATTTTTAGAATCAGGAGTGAGTAAAACATTATAAAGTCAATATTAATTAACAATATTTATATAATTAAAACATGGATACATTGTTTATAATCCATGGCTTATAAGCATGGCTACGTTTTTTATAGGCCAATAAGTACATTATTATATTATTATTACATTAATCCTAATTTTATATATATCAATGTAATAAATGTATGTATTTAGATTTGGGCATCTGGTACATGAAACTATTATATTTTATCTAATATAAGAAGTAGAAAGTATTGGGAGGGAGATATGATTAAATTTTATTATCGTCAATCGTGAACGGAAGTAGTGACTAAGGTACTCAAAGTTGGGCAGGTATTTGAGTAAAATACTCGGTAACCATGTTAGAATTTGCCCATCACTGCTTTCAATAAATTACATTAAAATAACAACAACATTATTTTTTTATTTTCCTTAAATATAACAGGTAGTTGTAATACTATAAAAAAAAGTTTACATCGATTATCAATTATTATGATTTACGTACTATATTAAGTACATATTTTATGTATGAGATTTTATTGATAAGATAGCATCAATAAAATATGCCTATATTTAACGACAAGACATTTAAAGAGACCCATTTTACACTTGAAATCTCTAATATAAAATTTTGACTTAAAAATTTATCATTTATAACATGATTTATAAACTTATTGCTTACAAGCAAATGCATAAGAAAGATCGTTGTTTATCTATGAAGATAAGTTAAAAGTTAATCCAATTCAAGTCGTCGAAAAGTTCCTTGTATGCCATAAGTACCATAAATATCTGGAAGGCGTTTTTCTTCATCAGCAACCAGAGTTGATGTTTTCATGAACCAGTCCCTCCTTTCTTCAAGAATGCTGTTCCATTGATCTAAAAAAAAGTAATTATTTTAGTAAAAAACTGATTTAAAAATGTAAAATGAATATTTTTTTAATAACGTATTATTGTTTTGGTTATTATATAGCTAAATATGGTTATTATGCAACTTAAATAATTATGAACCTTTTATGTTCCTCCAATATTACTCTTTTATTTAATAGTATAATTAAAAAACACAATTATATGGATTTATATTCAACCCACAAATGTTTATAGAAAAAAAATAAATAGGTTGATCCTTTCATATCATGAGTTAATTGCTTTCGTTATAAAGAAACTTGAATGTTCAAACATTTTTATTAACTGCTTTGACTTAAACCTTAAAATCAGATCTTCCTAAATTACCACAATAGTTAACATTTTTGTAACTATTTGGATTTATACTATAATTATATTTAAGCAATATTAAAACATAATACCATTCAGAAATTCAGCGGTTGGTTCTTTTCCGCCGTAATCAGAAGGAAGTAATTCTTCATCAACAAATTTTTTTAATGCTTTATCCCCATCTGAAGTTATTATGAACTAAAAAAAAAAAGCATGAAAATATATCAATGATTAATTAAATTATCATAATTTTTTTTTGTCTTACATTTAAAGAATAATGTTCAAATGTAAAATATATGGGGCTGATAAACCAAAGAGGTACTAGTGAAAATTTGATATAAAGATGATATAATATAGTGATATAAAATGCGTTTCGGACAGCGCGAAATTCCGTATAAGAGATGGAGTATTAATTTAAAAAAATCTTGATAATAAAGGTATTTTTTTCTGTAATGGACAAAACTATCAAATATCACTTAATGGCATAAATTGAAGTAATGTTACAAAAAAAAAAAAAGCGATAATATTTTCATAGTTATGTAATATTGGGTGGTATAAAACTGGATGTAACTGTCAGAATATAATTTACTTGAAAAATAAGAAAAAATTCTTTTTCACAAATGCATAATAAATGACCTAATTAAAATTAATATTAAAGTAGAGATGGTCCGCGGTAATGGTAAAAAAAAAAAAAAAAAAAAAAAAAAAAAAAAAAAAAAAAAAAAAAAAAAAAAAATTAAATAGTATAGACTATTCATTGAAAACCACGTTTCTACCCATTTTACGATTCTCCGTGAGGACTAAAATGAACAATTTATAAAGCAATGTAGAATATTGTGAGAGGGAAACGATAAGATTTATGAAAACAGAAATAATTATTAATAGAGTAAATAAAAACATAAAGTGATATAATAGCCAAGTCAAATTAGCATAATTAAAATGGTCTAGCTTACAAAAGGTCGTGTAATTCAAACCTCTTTTTTATATTGTTAGGTACGCAGTGAATATAAAAAATCTGGTGTGCGCATCACAAGATTTTCACTTACCACCCTCTTCTTAGCAGAAAGAAGTATTTATATCAGTGTAATCTATACAATTAAATATTAAATAATATTAACGATAGCATTTATTAAAACCGCATATGTATATGGAAGCCTGTTATAATCTTTCGGACGAGCTCGGGTGCGCTCGTATTCCTTTGGTTCATCCATTTCAACTATTATCCATTACGATCTCTTATTTCTCCTATAGTTAATTATCAAATTCTTCCATATTTTATGTTTTATTATTATTTATATCAAAGATTAATGTGAAATGGTTAATTATTTCAAATAAAAAAAATTAAAGGTACATTAGAGGAAGCTAATATTGAAAATTAGCCATTTAAACCCTGTTAGAGAACATCAATGAGAATAAAACCTACACTATATTAAACACTGATATACTGAGTTTAATCAAAATCGTTAGAGCCGTTTTTGAGAAAATCGTAAAAACGTGTTAAATCGATTATATAAAATGCCTCATTCGATAAGTCGATTTTGGCGAAAAAGTTGCTGTAACATCTGATATATATAAAAACCTTAAATATGCAATTTCAGTTTCATACTACCTTTCTTTTTTGAGCTAGACTGATCACACACACACACCATTTTGCGGGACTTGGTTATTTGGACTCAGGAGACCTCAAAACATGTATTTTAGTTGAAAACACAAGCTCAAAAATGTTCACGATCGCAATACTTACCCTTACTGTATATTGCATAAATAGGTACGTGAAAGTAAAAATTCAAGTTTCCGCCATTGAAAGACTAATGGGTTCGCTACAGTGCTCCAAAAACCATTCAAAAAATTGCGAAAATTTTTTGGTTTACGCTGAATATCTCCTTTTTAAAGCAACGTAGATAAAAAAAAATAGTTATATTCAATCTTAAAGATCTTAAAATTATCTAACATTTTTTTCTAAACGCAACAGGAAGTGAACTAGGTTTTATTAGTGAGCTTTCAAATTGGGTAAAGTTTTGAAAATTAAAAAAAAACATGCATAATTTTTTTATTTAATTAATTATCTGTTTTATATGTGACGTAGCTCAAATTTTTACTTTCTCTTACCTATATATGAAATATATAATAAGGATAAGTATTGTTGTCGTGAAAATTTTCGAAAGTGAGTTTTCAACGAAAATACATGTTTTGAGGTGTAATGGGTCCAAATAACCAAGTCTCGCAAAATGGTATGTGTGTATGTATGTGAACAGTCTAGCTCGAAAACGCAAAGTCGTATGATAGTGAAATTGCATATTTAAAGTTTGTATATACCTGGAATGTTACTGAAACTTTTTCGTCATATACAGCTGACCGGAAGTGGCACTTTATATAGTAGATTTTACACATTTTTACGATTAACTCGAAAACGGCTCTGACGATTTTGATTAAACTCACTAGGTCAGTGTATTATTAAGTGTTTTTTAGAAAGAAGAGATCTTAACAGAGAATAGTTTTAATGGAGTAACCAAAAGAATACGAGCGCGCCCAAGATCACCCCAGCTCGCCCGAAAGATTGGAACATTAAAATAACATTAAACTTCCAGGGGTTCTCCCCCCTTAAGATCGATGGCGCATGAACCTCCCACCCCCCTTCTCCCAAGATATTTTATTGCTCTCGTCTTCTTAAAAGGACAAGCTAAAGTAGAATATTAAAACTAATAAGTCATGTACAATGATAATTTCAGTGGTCTATTCTTTGCTTTCCCTTGTTCACTAGTTTGATGATTTTCATTTCGAAAATCCATAGCCATATCGAAATGTGCCCCTCTCAAAAATTCAAAACCTCGTCAAAATGTGCCCCCCTCAAAACTCCTTCTGGGCATCCCTGCAGATTTCCATACTTAAAATGAGCTTAATAATACGGACACCGACAATATTATGTATATATACATATGCGGTTTTCATAAATGTTATCGTTGTTTTTATTTAATATTTAATTGTATATTACATTATATAAAAATTAAAATTTATATATATACCGGTACTTAAATATAGCTGTTTTCTTCATGAGTGGCACTTTTGTCGGACAAAAAATATTTCGTGACACTTAATTTATTATAATCAAATAAATAATTGGAATATTCAGTCGGAAAAGGAAATGACTAGTGCCAAACAAATAAAATATAAAACATTTGAAGGCTATGAAAAACGTTGAGTAATTAATTGTTGTAAATAATCTTTCTTACCTACTATAACTTTTACTTTCACTTCTCTTTCTCTTAATATTATTATCTTTGCTAATAAGAGGGTGGTAAGTGAAAGGTGGTAAGTGACATTAAAGCACACACAATTTATTAAAGCTTTTATTGGAAACATATTTCCCTAAAATAAGCAACTTTAATACAAATTGCTAAAAAGAAATTATTGTATTGAAATTCGAAAAAACCTTTTAATTTAATTTTTACTGTTTTCCACTAATTTTAATGAAGTTAGTCATAAACAATTACTGTTTGTCCTGTTACTTTTAAAAAAAACTATATTCTAAGACATTTTTTTTATTAATGATATTATCCAAATTGTAAACCATTGTTTGCGTTCTTACGAATTGTTATCATCTGAAGACTTCGATTTCGACTTCGAAGAACCCACAATTCTTTCAAAGGGTGAAACTCGGATTTTTTATGTTAACTGAATATATCTAACAATGTAAAAAAGAAATTTGAATTACTCGACCTTTTACAAGGTCAAATGTCTAATTTGACTAGGCTATATTGAGGAAGTTAAAATGTAAAACAATAATAAATAATGTAGAGAGAATTATAATTGATTGATTGATAAAGCATTAATTAAGGTATAAATGTATTGCATAAAGAGTTATTTCAAATTCTATATTTTATTAATCTTAACTTTACTTTATTACAGTTACATTCTTAAAATATTCTACAATTTTTTTTTTATCTTGTTCATTTTCAGTCTTGATGAAGACCTGTAATGTCAATTTTATCTTAAGTTTCAATAAAAAGTTTACACTATTTATTGTTTTATTTTTACCTATTTAAAGTTTTATTATTTTCTTTTTTCTGGGAAGTTGTATGATATTGTTTGTTATTTGGCAATGATTACTTCCAATTAACAACAATTGAGTTTATTTGTTGTTTTATCAAAATTGCATGTTTACAAGTTTACGTTTCGGGATATTTACTCCCATCTTCAGAACCACAATCCCAATGGTCTTGTGGACACGTGGCTTAAAAAGGGCAGACACCCAATAATTAGTCTAAAAGCAAGATGTTGGTCTAGATGTTATATACCTAGATTTATTATAACATGAATTAGAAACTGACTATGGAGCACAGATCATTGGGATTGTGGTTCTGAAGATGGGAGTAAATATCCCGAAACGTAAACTTTTAAATATGCAATTTTGATAATACAACAAATAAATTCAATTGTTGTTAATTGGAAGTAATCATTTCCAAATAACAAAGTTTTATTATTTATTTTTACACTATTTTAAGTTTTTTTTCGGCACGGGACTGATTTTTTCATCATTATATAAACGGTCGACTATTAAATGTATCCGATAATATCGATATAATGTTATGTAATTTTGTATCAGTTTAATGTGAATTTTTTTTTTTGTTAGAAATAGGCTAAATATAAAAGTATCCGAAGGAAAACGAGAAATAAATTCCAGATTTAGGAAATGAGAAAATCTGATAAGCGGGGTTCTATTGGATGGACGACTGTGCTGATAAGCATTGAGTTATTTTTCAAATGTTACTTCGTTTAGCTGATAAGATTTTCTTTCAGAATTATTAGCGGCAGTCTTAATTGATTGAAATTAAAAGTTTTATCCAAAGTCTACATCAAAATATTGAAGTCGATGTAGATAGATTTTGCCATTTATGTGTACCGATTCGATCTTCAATTCTATAAATAATATCTTATAACTTGAAGCATATTTTTGAGGTTTATGCATAATTATTGTAATTCATTGTTTCAAACAATAGAGTAAAGAAGATGTATCTAAAAAAGAATGTGTAGTAAAAGTAAATAATTTTATGTATGATTTTTTTTTTTCACAAAACAATTTATAATATTTCATACTTACCCTATTATACATTTTAGATTTCATGAATGGTTTCAGTAGAGTATTTACGATGATGTTCATGAATGTTGGACTGTTGAACAGTACTCCTCTTTTTATTTTTAGTGGCATAGCGTTCTGAAACAATAATGTAACTTAGAAATGATCATTACTTTTTTATTTTTAATGTACTGTGAAATATATATCATTATAAAATTAAATATAATGAAAAATTATAAGTGGAATTCACTCATCCTCCAGTTTTTTATTATATAATTTTTAAGAGACCATAGTAATAATTTTTCATATCTGGATCAATTGATTTGAAATCAACCAGACAGCTGGAAATTTTTTATTTTATAATTTTATTACCAGTTATTCCATATTTAATGGTTAATTCAAAACTACGGTTAAAACCATTTTAAGCCTCACATTTTTTTTCTTGTCACAATTATGAATTTAATTTTCAGTTGAGTACATGTTTTGAGAAAATATCTAGTAATTTCGCAAATATCAAACCAAAAAAAAAAATATCTGGTGCGCGCAATACACCGCTTTCACTTACCTTTCTACTTTGAATAAAAATTATTTTCTGGCAATGTTGAGCGATTATAAAATTTTTGACGTGCACTTTTAACTGAGCTATAGCTTGAAGTTTACAGCTAACAAATCATTAGCACCATTAAAATTACAAAAACCCTATTAATTATATCAACGGTTGACAATGAAAACCTCGGTACTCCATCTGTTTTCGTGAATCACATAACTCCAGTCTCTGAGCAATATATCTATGCTTAGAGAGATTTGAAAGTATATCTCTATAATCAACCTACAAATGACTATAGATTGTAGAACTATTAATCATTAAACTATTGTTTTTCCATTGTAAAGTTTACTACAAAGAAATTACGAAATTTTCATTGCCTGCCTTAGACAGGTCAAAAGTTTTTACTCTAATTTTATGCGGATAATGTTTGGATTTCACAGAAGGAAAATTCATCAAATTATTAACTAATTTAATTTTTAATAAGGTTAAATGAAGATTTTTCGAAATAAACGGACGTTGATACCTAATTATTTAAATAAAATATCAGATCTAGAGTTATTAAACTACAGTAAATGTATTTAAGGTTATAAACATATGCTTTATATATCCAAGAAATATTTTTATATTTCACTTCTTCTTTCACATAAGTACTATGAAATAGTTTTTTAAACAATGTCATTGCCTTGATAAGGTGGATTTTAAATACTTTTAGTTGGTAAATTTCATTTGATTCCGCTAAATAATATTAGTTTTCACAAATTATTATTTATAATTTTTCATTACTCTCCATTACTTTGTACGACTTTCTACAATAGATATTGTTTGTTTTTTTTCTCTAAAATTCTCGACTTTACAACGATATATTATACGTATACCTTCTGACTAGTATTTCCGGATAATCATTTTCGACCTAAATAAACATTTCCTCTTTTTACTCCACTTTAGATTACTTAACTTTAGATTTTAATGAAAAAGTTGCTGCCACATTTAAGGCACACATCTACTTTTTTTTAATTTCTTAATGACATTTACAACTGTATTACATAAATACATCTAGTAAATTTGGACATAATAGATATAATGACATGAATACACTTGCTGAGTAACTACCCAATGGTAGCATATCTATTTAAATACATAACATCAGTTTCGTACGACTTTCCCTTTTTGAGCTAGACTTACCGCATACACACACAATCACACAGAATGTTCTGCGGGACTTGATTTTTTAGAATAAGGGGACCTTAAAACGTGTATTTCTGTTGAAAACTCAGATTCGAAAATTTTCATCATCACAATATTTTCACTTACTATATATTACATACATAGGTAAGTGAAAGTAACTAGAATTATGATGATGAATTTTTTGTCTTACGATAAATCATGTAAAAAGAAAAGCAAATTATGAAAAAAACATAAAAATTAACATACAATCAGACTTTTACTCTTTTTAAAAGTGTATTGATGAAAACAGGCACACCTTTGTTTTTTTTTTCGTTTTTTTTTTTTACTGCTTTATTATGCTACAGGCTGAAGAAGTTGGAATCTTTCTTTAAATACCTTACCTTTCTTTAAATATGAACTTTTTAAAATAAACAAAAGTCATTTCGGCAACTTTTGAAGATGAATGTCAAAAAAGGAAAATAAATTAAAACAAAATATTGCATTGATACTGTTCGTACTTTAATAGAACTAGGAGAGTCTGAGTCACTATATTCGTACCATACGTTCCTATCATAAAGATGTATTAACAGCAGAGCATGGCAGCTTAAATAAAAGAAAAATGGTTTTCTACTCTTTAACAGTGATCTGATAATCTGACAAGTGCTTGAGACCGCATATATGCTATAATTATATAGAATTAGTCATTAATTTCATTGAAATTTTTCGCAAAAGGCTTTAAACCAACTTTCCAAAAAAAAAAAAAAAAAAAAAAAAAAAAAATGGTTACGCTTGTTGTATTTTTTTTCGTTATGGTGATGTTTTTTTAGTCCTTGAAATCCAATTAGCGTGAATATAAAAAACGAGAATAAGTTTTACAGATTGAAAATTGAATGTTTCGTTCAAGAGAAAATTAGCAAATAAATTCTGCTAATATTGGTTCTTAACTGAAAGTGGCGAATCCATCCTTAATAATAGTAATAGGGCATGGAATTTTCATGTAACTATGTTGTAAAATATTAAAGAAATATATAAAAAGTGATGTTTACCTGGAACCAATGAAAATAGTAAGCGATGGATGTCGGATTCATTTTTGTTAAAAACGCTTTTGGAACTCCCTTCATATCAGTTACGGTGATGAGTCCCGTCATATCTGGCCAAAGGCTCATTGCAGTCTCCATCAGCATCGTCAGCCGCACGGTGCATTGCGAGTGGACGAAATTTCCAATGAAATTTTCTCCTTCTGATATAATGAGGACACGGTAGCCTTCAGGCGTAGGTTTCGGTAGGAAATATATTTTACTGAAAATTAAAAAGAATATGAATACACATGTTCTATGTTAATGATTCAGTTACTTTTACAAAATTTTATTAGTCGATTTGTTGCCCGAAAAAAGGGCAGGTGGAATAAGTGCGTAATTGTCTTTTCAATTCCCTGAACTGGTTTGAGTTGCACTTTACAGAGCATAAGGACTTGTATAGAGATTATGTTGGATCTAAGCATTGGTATTTATCTAATACTATCCTATTTTTTTAAATTTAGCAGTAAATTGAATCTTCAACAGCTGTTCCTCATTATAATTTATAATTCTGTTTTATATTTTTTATAACACTAGTCTGTAATGGTACTGGAAAACATGATAGTACATGTAAGTGCAGTCGATGGATTAGTGCGTTTAATTTGCACTTACTCTTTCTACCATGTTTTGCCATGGCAATTGCGCAATAGTTTATTGAAATATTCTTTTTTTTTTCCTAATAAATTTACTCATTATGTTACAGATAATTTTTTTTAAATTTATCGAAAAAGCAATTGATATGCTAATTATGATACGTCCGAGAAAAGTTGGTATGGATTCGGGTACCTCCTGCTCACCTGGTCTTTCATGAAGTGATTACCATATCAAATTAAGAAAAACATAACAGTTTAGAACATTAAACATAGTTACTAATGATTTATAACTGGCCTAGCATCACTAATGTAACAGGAAGTACTATATGCACAAAATAAACAATAATAATTGCTACATTACATAGGTTTTTACTATTAAAGTTTGATGAAATAAAACGCACAGCGCCTTGGAAGCATTCTTGAAGTCTTCGTGGAAAGGATCTCTCTTTGAGAAGTGGAAGAGCTGGGGCAGTTTGGCTCGGAGCGTGAAAAATGCTTCCAACTTCTGCTTTGCGACTTCCAGACTCTTCGTGCCGACAACGAAAGCCGTGAGCCACTCAGGGTCTGAGAAATAGAATCAATAATTATTTCAACAATTAATCGCTAGAACATTTTGCATGTTGGTTGTATGTATTCAGTAAGTTAAAATAAAAAAGTCTTAGATTTCTATGAAATTTCCAGAATCATAGGAATAAACCTGACCTAAAGAAAAAGAAAGTTTATATTTCAATTTCTTGTGCCACTTATCATCAAAAGTTAGTTGTGAATTTTATTCCAGAAAGTTGAATGTTACCACTTGATAAAATTTAATCAGGGTTCCTAGTTTATTTCATATCTAGTTGGATATATATTTTTATTATTTTTAACTAATTAAAAATGAATATTGTAACAAGTTACTTACAGAATAAATTATAATAATAACGAAATAGCATGAGCAATTAGGGTAAATAATTGAGTAGTTGCTAATTCTCTTTAAGATTTTTTTTTTAGTATTCTTTTCAGAGCTAGGTCCATAACACCTACTTAAATATGAATGTGAAATACCTCAACATAATTATTTAATTTGTTCTGGTTTAGTCCTTGTTTCTCATTCGAAGGACCAATAAAGAACTGCTTACTGAAACTGGTTAATCAATATCTCATGACATGATGTGTAAGGAAGTTAAGATGGGCATTCATTAGAAAGCCTCTACACAAAAATGGGTGCTCTTTCAGTAGTAGGCAAGAGACTACGAGGAACGCCAAAAAAACATATGTGTAGATCGAATCAACAAAGACGCAATGGAGCTGCAAGCAGATAAATGGAAAGAAATAGCCCAAGACAGGTTAAGATCCTTTTTCTTGTCCTTTATTTTAATGTTACTGTTACATGATTCTATAATTTAGTAATTTATTGACTGTCATTTTGTGCAAGACAAAAGTCACATGTATTTTTTTTTTCATTACTTTATAGGGACTTAATGACCCAGATTAAAATTTAATTTTCTTCTAAAATAGTCAACCAAGTTTCAACCCCCTACCGTATGTTAGTAAAAACATTATAAAATAAAATAATCATAATTACAGTATAAAACATATTTAATATAAAACATATTTTGTAATATAAAACATATAAAATATAAAACATATTTTGGAAGAATGCCCTTTTTACACCGCAAGATTAAAATATCTCGGAATACCCCAGAATATATCAACATCTCTGGGAAATCAAGAAGAAATCGTTACCAAAGTCATCAAGTTCCTGGATAGTGAAAGACTTAAAAAACATATATGACAAGCTTATAATTAATGATCCTTTGCAGATTTATTATTATTTCTTTATTTTTTTTATTCTTTTTTTTTATTTATTTATTTTTTTTCATTCGTTCATTTCATTCAAGTTCATGTTTATTAATCTCAATTCATTTATTGTTTTTACTGCTATTTTTTTAAAGTTTATTTATTTATCTATTCTGTGTTATTGTCTATAAGTGTCTATTGTTATCCTTATTTATTTATTTTATTCTATCAATCCACTTCTTAATTTTTTTTTATCCTTTTTTTAATTTTTATTTTTTGTACCAACCATCCAAACAGTAATAAGTGGGGTTATTTAGTTGATCGGGCGCTTATGACCTGGATGTTTTGCGCCTAGACATCAAAACAAAGAAACAACAAACAAATAATTACAGTAACTTTATTAAGTAACATAAATATAATAAAAATCATATATTAAAAAAAAAAAACCTACATAATCTATTGTGACCAAATTTAAGAATGCGTATTTATGTCCAAAAAAAAAAAAAAATTAGTTATTCAAAACTTTTCAACGGATGATTGCAAATGTTGCAGTTAAATATCTTACAACAAATAAAAATGAGAAGGAGTTAGTTGAGGGTGCGGTCAAATAATTAAAAAAAAAATTAAAATATATAAATAATTTTAATAACAAATAAAAATGTTTAATTAAAAACAATTTTTTTTATAGTTACCCTATCGATTAATACTTAATTAAAAAATATGTTTTCAAATATTCAACTATTCGGAATCGTTTGATAAATTAATTTTCAGTAAAAGTCTATGAAATCTAAATTGAATTGCAAAGATGTTATTGACTAAATATTGAAGTAAACATTTATTAATTTTTAAAATTTGATTTATTCCTTTTTTTCTACCTCGTTTTAGTCTGGTAACTACTTAGTAAAAATGAGTTCTATAATTACTGAATAACATTAAAATTAAGATGAGGAAAGGAGAAAATATCTAATCTGAGAAAAAAAATGCAATAATTGGTTTTTTTTATTTTAAGATTTCAATTAAAATTTCCTCAGGTTACAGCTTATTAAAAAATCGTCAATGCTTCAGCATTTCAGGACAAACTCCTATTAACTTATATTTTAAAATAAAATCAATATTATCATTTAATTATTCTGTTGCAATACCCGAGGTTTATAGCAATAAACTCGAATTTCCTTATAAAAAACAATAAAAGTTGTTTGTTCACTGTATACAATTATAACGATTTGGTTTTGTACTAGTAATTGATATTCACTTAATAAATACCGGATGCTATGGTGAACCAATTCTTTATAAAAATGATAAAGGTTTCAATTAAAAAGTGTTTTTATAAATAGAAATACAATTTTTTATTGAACATGGCAAGAAATAGAAATAGAAAAATAACTTTATTCTGGGACGAAGTCCCTTAAAAATAACACAATGCTACTTCTGGCCAGAACTATTACATTAAATGATAGTGACATAATAAAAATTAAGTATACTAATAATATATGCATAACCAAACAATGAAACTTTTTACAAAATACTCAAAACTAAATACAATACTAATAAGAAACGAAACAAAATAATTGCTACTTACCTTTAAAAAAATAAAAAATAATAATAAAGAAATAAAAAAGATAAGAACACAATAAATGAAAAATATATTCCTTTGATAGATGAGCAAAGTAATGAAATAAACAATCAAAATAAGGTAACATAAAAAATGAAAAATGACAATCTTAGAATAAAATGTAAATCAGAGAAATTTCATTTCTTATGTTACCTTATTTTGATTGTTTATTTCATTATTCCCTACTTTGTTGCCGTTATTATTATTTATTTCTTATTTCTCTGTTACTGTTATTATTCTACCTATATTTTTTATACTTTAATGTTCACTCTATCTGCTTTATTTTACTTTAAGTTTATTTTGCCTACATTATTTAGTCTATAACTTTCACCTTTTAAATTTCAATTCTTTATTATCCAATGTTTATAGTTTCTCATACCTATTGTTATCTGTTTTTTTATAGCCCTGAACTTCGGGCCGAAACGTTGGCAAATATAAAAATAATTATTTATTTTTACAATTTTATTTATCACCCCAACTATCCTTCTCTTCAAGAAAATAAATAGTTGAACCGACATAGTATGATAAATATTAATATATACAAGTTCCTACGTACAAGCTCTCCAGAAGGAAATATTTATATATATATATATATATAAAACTGTTTTTTAAACAAGGTACTGTTACTTGATAGGTGTTTGGCCAGTTTCTGACTGTTTGTCAATAGGAATTTGAATAGGATAATTTTGAATGTGGATAACGAGGGAGCATGCCGGATTTTTAAAGGGAGGGAATTCGAGAAAGTAGCGAAGATACGAAAGAATTATGGAAAGAGGCAGATCTGTGAAAAGGGGTATAAAGGTCAAAAGGTCGGGATCTTGTGATAAAAGTGTGGATTATTGTCAATTGTAATTGACTTTTTATAATTATTGTCTTAATTCTGAACTGATTTAACCATTCGAACATTGTAGATGTAATCTACTTTTAGATCAGCATTATTTTCAATTCATTGAGTTGACGGTTTTTTTCCTCTCAATAATACTACCTTATTTTTCACATTGCAATACTTTTTGTTCACTTGAGTATTTACTGTTTATTGTTGACAACAAGAGCCTTAGTTTTATAAATACTATAAAGCTGAGAGTATGTGTGAAAATCGTTAAAATGTAGGAATTATTCATTTTATTTAACGTAATTTAATTTAATATTCCAAGTTTCATAATTTCTTTTTATTTTTTTCTATTTAATGTTAATTTTACTATAGAAGATGGAAAAACATAATATTTTTGACCGACACATAAATTTATAATTTTCTATCAACGATGACTTACAATCAGAAAAATTAAAAAAGAAGTGGAGGGTTCTAATTCTTCTGTTCATTATGCCATCAAAAAATTGTTTAAAACATAGCAAACTAGAAGCTTTCGTACTGAATCCTCCCCAAAAATGGTAAAATATAACCTTAAGAAAAAAATTATCTCTAAACGTATTATTGTTGATCTAATTACATTTAATAGGACTAAAAGAATCACTTAAACGCCATTTCATATAGGTAGTTAATTTTTTTTCTTTCTTCCGAAGTAATTATCCTAAATATACATACATACAAACATAAATATACATAAAATAAATCTTTCGGGCTGTAGCCCCCCAAAAACGAAATACCATTTAGGCTTTAGCTGATTGGGTAGGACTTTATTTTTCAGCAATACATCGATCAAAAATATATTATTTTACAAAATATATAGTATTTTGTAATTTTATGAAATAAAACTAACATTAAATAGAAAAAAATGAAATTGAATTTTTAATAAGAAATGTTACAGAAAAAAACAACAACAAAAAATTCCAACTTTAGAAGAATTTTTACAGATACCCTCAGCTTTCTAGAGTTTCTACAACAGCTCTTGTTAAAAACAAAGCTAAAGGACAACAAAGTAGTAAAATATGAGAAATAAGGTAGGATTATTTAGAAGAGAAAAACCTTCAACTCAAGGCTTGTTGTTACATTGAAAATAATACTAATTTACATCTACAATGTCTCCACGGTTAAATAAGTTTACAATTAAGAAGAGAAAAACATTTTTAAATTAAAACTTTTATAATTTGTATAATAATTTTGTTCGTTTGAAGACTTTTTCACACCTCTGTGGTTTGTTGAAAACATTTAATCATTGGGTAAAGCATTAAATAAATGACGGAAAGTGAGCTAACATGTAACGTGTAGTCTCATTTATTTCTCGTGATTAGATGCCTTTATCACTCGGTTGAAGTTTGTCGACAGCTCAGTCTATTGATAATAAGTTCAAACAACTGATATTTTCTGTACAGTTAAGCAACGTTGCATCTCCAATTATCTCGAAAGATTATTTATTGATCACTATTTGGTAAAGTGTCAGAAAAACGCGGGATAAAATACATCTGGCTCAGAATAAAATGTTATTTCAGGGGTGCCATTAATAAAATATGCATACGTGATCCCAGTGATGATTTTTTAAATTGTTTTTCATGATATTTTCAACTGTATTACAATATAAATACATCAGGTAAATGTGTAAACAGGTTTATAATCACATGAAAAGGCTTGTTGAGAAACTACCCACTGGTATCACTCTAATAATGAAATGAAAATGAAATGAACTGAAAAAAATATTTTATTATTATACTGGGACTGTTGTCCCTTTAGAACAAATTATAAGTACAGATTGTATGTCTGTGTGGCCATAATTAGAATATATATTTACAATAAGAGTCGACTAAAAGTAAAATTACTGAAGAAGAGAAATAAAAGAACAAGAAAATTGTACATATATATAAGAAACTAAAAGAACCTAAATAAATTGACGTAGTCTCTGGGGGTGCTTAGATATTTCTCTTAGGTATATCTTGTAATCGGTCGGATTGAGAAAGGAGTAGGTGTTTAAAGAGGAGAGGTTTGAAAAAGGGAACTGATTGAGCGTGTCGTATAGCAGCAGGGATGAAATTCCATAGGGAGGCGGCTTAAATTGCAAAGGGTTTGTCATATGCAGCAGTTCGGTGAGGAGGGGGATAGAGGTCAGAAGTTTGAGATCTAGTGGGACGGGATTGGATGGAGTATTTGAATTGTAATCTGTGAAAAATACAGGAGGGTCTAATGATCTGGTACAGAAAGGTGTCTGAATAAGGAGTCTAAGACTCGGATGTTTATGAAGTTTATTATGAAAGGATATGTATCCGGATTGGGACAAATCGGAAACATATGGAACATTAAGGTCTTTATGGATTAAGAGCATTGAGGATTTTACGAAGGATTTCGGATTGGATACGAGAGGAATTTTATGGTTTAGTCCTATAGCTCAATACCGTTAGTCCTAATAGGTCTTATTTTAGTCATGTAAATAAGTCTTTTGTAATTAATTGGAAGTTTAGAGCGTTTTCTAGTAAGTGTTGAGTAAGCGAAAACGTCGAGCAGTTTCTTGCTGTTTCAGTCTTGTATGAGGATTCCAAGTGAGACGTTTGTCCAGGTGGAGTACTAGGTATCGGATCTGTTCAACAGGGATGAATGGGGTGTTATTAAAGGGTACTGTAGTACAGGAAGTCATAGGATTACGAAACATTTATTAGTAAATCAATTAATTTCTAATAAATGCTCTCCCAGTATTAATCATAACATTAATTTGGGGCTGAAGGGCATTCTGTTTTTCAATATCTTTTGAGCGCTCATAAGCTGGATGGGGCGTTATCTTTTTTACTAATATTTACCAAGTGTGGATATTAAATAACGAGGTGGTGGCTGTAATACATTTTGATTTCATACATATTTATTTATTACCAGCTTTATCTATTTTCTATGCATCCCTTCTCTATTTCTATTATGCTCCATGCCAATCTAACAATATCTGAAACAGTGCAGGACGTTTTCTTCTACCAGCTCCTTCAGGACGCGCGTCTATTCTTTTAGCAACAACGTGAATGTTGATTAATAATTTGACCTTCAGTAACTCTGCGAAGGTGCGAAATCTCATGAATTTCAAAAAAAAAAAAATTATCATAGCTTTGAATTTCGGTTTTCCAATTCCAGCTTTTTTGGCTCTCGGTGAACTTTGCACGGATGCCAAGCATGGAAGCCAACTTCCAGTGCATGGATTGACGCTTCGTTTCAGGATCATAAACAAAAAAAAAAAGATATATCAATCTGTATTAAAAGGAACAAGATTTGAGTTCGTTTATGGTATCAAAGAAAAAGCGACACACATCCTGAAAGATTTGACACAAGATTTTTAGCCACTATAATTTAATTCAGTCTCAATTCTCAGAAAATTGAATATTTACATGGACCGAATATATGAATATAAGAAGGGTGAATATCATTTATATTGAAGGTGATAACAAGTAAATATTTATGAAATCAAAATAAAATGTTTTACAGCATCAGTCTCATTATTTAATAGCTGCACACTTGTATTTATTGTGTCAGTTCTTCTAACTCTCTAACAACGTATTTTTTTGTATTAAGTGAAATTTTCCTGTCCGTTTTATTTTACAAATCATTACTAAATTTTTCCCATTTTACTCTTCTTGTAATCAATATAGAAGAGGAGGACTTATGAGCGAAGTTTGAATGCAATTAAGGTAAAACTGGACTATGATCTGACGCAAGTTCATCAAAGGATTTAATTATAGCTTGGGTGGAGGGGATGAATTCCGAGAGGTAATAAATACATTCAGTAATAAATTAGTAATAAATGTAAACCGGAGTGAATTGAATTTCAGTCAGTACGGCAATATCTTTGTTATGGTCATGTAAAAATATGATGAATATTTCGTGGTGGGTATACTTTAAGGCGTCTCACGTTGAGGCTGTAGAATCTTCTTAGAATGTAAGAAAGCGATTCAGGGAAAATTTCCAAAAACTTCATATTAAACAAGAAAATTGAAAGTTATTGCTCTGACTTCGGAAGATTTGAATTTTCATATATAATAAATCGTGAACTATATCTTGTATTTGTATTTATTTTTCATAATTTACTATAATTATTTAGAATTATTCAAAATTGACAATGAAGTCTTCCTCAAGAACCTGTTTTACTACACGAGGCAATGTTGCAAATTGAGATCCTTTATTTTCAATGAATAATAACATTACATATATGTTTCCAAAACTTTGAAGTTTATTTACTTTGTTCTGCTTGTGGTGTTTATTATTCATGCATGAAACATATTTATATGCATATCGTGTTTTATTGTATCATTTGCTATTTAATATTGACGTGTTTATATGTTATATATTGTATACTATGCCTGTATTTATCTTTATTACTAGTGCTATTTATTACTATTTGTCATTTTATTGCTCGCTACATTCAGATGTATTGTTTTGAATTATTGTATTATGCGAGGTATTATCTTATATTTCATTGTTTATATTTAGTAATACAGTCAGATGCTTGGTTGTTTTCAGGAGAGGATGTTATCACTGAATACTAATGAATTTTACTTTGTATATAAGTTGTAAATGGTTTTCATATTAATTTGTTCATTGTTATCATTATAGTCAACTCTATTTGTATAGGGCATTCCCCGAAAACAAATAAATAAAATAATAATAAAAAAAAAATAATATTTTACTATTGTACACATTAAGAAAATTGATTTAAAAAAAATAAAAAACAAAAAAAATATATATTTTTTTAAATTTACTGTTAATGTTTTCCATTTCTTGGTTCTTACCTATTTTTCGATAACTAATTTAATTTTTCTATTCCTATTTTCTGTAAAAATATTAAAATTCTTTACCTACGTCGTTGGGAAGGTGTTGCTCTTGACCTAGCCATACCTTGAGCCTCTCAACATCTTCATCAATGGCTAGCTTGCTTCGGTGAGGAGATGACAGCTTCTTCAGACCTTTCCCTACCAGCGAACCTACATCGGACAACTTCCATTGCCTGTAATTTTATGAGAAAAATTCAATGCAATTGCAAAACGAAAATACGGCACAAACTATAATTAAATTTTTATTTATTGTTTAATTTTTCATTTATGTTCTTTAAGCCCTATAATGAATTTTTAAATGTTTAATGGATAGTTAGTTCTTTATACTATTTTTTTGTAAAGCGTCACAGCTTCATATTATCATTATAGTTCGTTATATGACCACCGTACAAAGAATAAGGAATAGAATAATCACCAAAATAAAGAACTGTCTATGGTTAGGCCAAGTCCTAATAACACTATACCAAAATTTCGTGGACTATGCACATAGATAAGAGATAAAATTAGTAATAGGTGACTTCAATACCAAGACAGGACGAGAATTCCGATTTAATCCAATTATGCTAAAGTATTCACGAAACGAACAATTAAAATGTTTGAAATGGAATGAATGTTTCACCCCGCAGATAGGTAGAGGAGAAGTATATATATATATATATACTATTGTAACGTATATATATATTTCCTGTTTGCTTTCCTGCCTCTCCGAAACATCCTTCGGGGTAGCCGTACGGGCTAAGGCGATTGCAATCGGTAATCAAAGTTAAGCAACGTCGAGCTTAGTTAGTACTTGGATGGGTGACAGTCCACCAGGGAAAGCCATGCTGCCAGAGTATCTCCCCTCCCCTGGGTATGTGAGGCCCTTCAGCCCACAGGAGACAACTCATACCGCCCGGCCGTAGGACTGATGACCCTATCTCGTGTACTTAAATCGGGAATCGGGATGTGGTTTACCAGAATATTAGTAGCCCCTCTGAGGTTTCGTCCATGGAAGGTCTGTTTTGGGAAAAGAAATATAAGTCCTCGTGCGCCTGCTGACTCTAACCATCCATAATCCACGGAAATAGACTGATTTGTCACATTCCTTGAACCCAAGAGAGTCGGTGGGAAGGACACCGTGTAGTTTTTTGTCCCACTTCAGTACCACCTACGACTTTACACTATTACAAATATATTTAAAATTTTATGAAATCTTAAGCATTCGACCGTTATATTATTATGTCTGTATTACAACTCCTTATTTCTGGTAACTTTTTCTTACCTGGGAAAATATTTCTTAATTTTCTCCTACAATTAATTATCAAATTCTTTTATAGCTTATATTTTTCATGTTTTTTAATATCTAATAAAAATTATAGACACTTAATTATCACAAGTAAAAAAAAAAAAAAAAATAAAGGAACATTAGAGGAAGCTATTATAGCAAGTTGGCATTTAAGATCTACCATACTCTTGAGGACTCAGTTTATAATAAATACCATTTAATTGTGTATTGATATAATGCACTGAAGTATATTCTTTAAAGGAGTTTTATGGTAAATTTGTACAAATATGTTTAGTTTTATCAATAATTTAAACTTCAGGTAAAAGATTTTAATAATAAATTTACTACAGCATCTCAGGCATATATACCTACCTTAAATACGTAATTTTAGTTTCTTTGTAATTTTCGTTTTAGGCAGTTCATATACTTATATATGTATTTAGACCGTTTTCTCAGACCATTTTGCGAGACTTGGTCATTTGGACCGGGGATGGAAATATTCCAGTACTTGTATTTAGGTTGAAAATTCGGACTTGAAATTTATCACTATCCCAATATTTTCCCTTACTAAGAGGATATATTCATGACTAGGTGAGACAAAGTAATATGAGACCTTAGGATTGAAACTCGGTTAATTTTTTAAAAATAATTATATAAGATAACAACAATGACAATAACAATATTTTTACTCTACGCTTAACATAAAACTCAGTTGTTAAATGTTAAATTACCACCGTTAGAAAAAAAATTAAAATAATAACCATTAAACGATGGTATTGGATTCGTACAAATATATATCATATATCTGGGAAGCGTAAAATGTATAAAGAAAACATTTTTTTTTTTTTAATTTAAACAGATATACGATATAGGAAAAAAAATAGAATTTATTTATTGTTGAAAAGGCATTAAACTGATAAGAGGTGCACGCGCACCCATGAGTGTAAGTATACAAGTGGCTTTATTTATTCATTAATAAAAAATAATTAATTTGTATGAATAAACTTTTTATCTCATCGTGGTGGTATAGAAAGTTACATAAAATAAACATGAAGGGTAATTGAATATTTTTGACAAATTATTATAAATGTGCATGAGAAAAAAAAATCTGAATTTGATGATAAGATTAAAAAAAGGCAGCTTTCCGCCAGACCGTCTTCACAATTTTCTAAATTTAAACATCAAATAAATTGTGAGTCAATGGCCTTTCTCTATTTTTTTATTTACTTTTTTTAAAAATATCTTTCCTCAGCCTTATACTATCCAATTGGTGGTATTGGTGCCGAAAACTGAGAATTTTACCCTAATCACGAGCCATTTAGTCATAAACCCGTGTCCACGGGCAGATCTACGGGGGGAGGGGCTTTGGAGCTGAAGCCCCCCCCCCAAGTGGTAAAATATAACCATGTTTTATGGAAAAAAATATTAAAAAATTATCTCTTCAAGTATTATTGTTCGTGTAATTACATTTGAAAGGACTTTAGGAATCACTTAAACACCATTTCATATAGGCAGTTAGTTTCTTTCTTTTTTTCCTGGATCCTCTAGTACCCATCTCTTATTTTATTATTTAAGATTAGTATTGCAAAAAAACGGTCATGGTCATTTTCTTGCCTTTTCGTCTAATTTTAGTAAGACCAAGACCAAGACTGACCCTGCAAGATCAAAACCACAATTACTTCTATCTACTGATAAACATCGCCGTTATGACATTAAAAGCTATTGTATTGATTATTATATTTTGTGTCGTAGTACAGTTATTTAACATTTTAATCTTGAATTAAATTAAACAGCGGTTTTTGTCTTGTTTAATCGTGTATTTGAGCTTAGCTCTCCGAATAATAACAAGATATAAAACATTTACCAAGACCATTACAAAAAATAGTTAACGAATAGGGAAAATAGTTAACAAGACGATTTTCAAGTTAATATTATTAATTTGGTTGGAGTTTAATATTTATACGTCAATATAAGTTCAAAATGTACCGACTCTGTTGCGTTGTTCAAAGATTTAAAATAACATGCATAATAAATAGCATTAGGCTAATTGAGCCTTTCAGTTGACAGAATGACTAACTCCAATTTCTGTGCTAAGGACTGTGTCACATTTTAAAATATAAAAATTGTATTGATCGAAATTCGTTAGAAAATGCATTTTCAGAATTTTTTAATAACGATTTAACAATCTGTTCAGAGGGAATCGGAAAGTCACCAACAGTTTAGCAGAAATGATGCGAGAACTATGGACTGTATTTTAATTAATAAAAATAGATAAATATAAATTTTGTATTTAAATATATATGATTTGTTTTTAACTATATAAATGATTCTAGAAATAGTTATACAAGAATAAAAAAAAAATTGTAAATAACTTTAATACGGAAAATTTGTTTTCAGACTTAAAAATGGCTCGATAAGCCATGAAAAGTCTTCATTCCAAAATAAGGATCCAAAATAAAAACATTATTGGTGTGCTATTGGCTTAGGGAAATATAAACTGAAATGAAAATTCGTATAATTTATTTTAAAACCAGAAACGTGCATTAATTTTCGTGCAACCCGTTATCAACAATATGAAACAATGAAATATTAAGCATTAAATGTACTATAAAAATACTTAAATATAAAAAGATTAGGGACTTGTGTTGTTGAGTGCATAAGAACTTTTCAAGATCATATTTGAAAGATTTCCTCAACGTCCTCAAAATTATCTTATTTCTGTCAAAACCGAACTAAAACATAAGATCAACAAAGCAAATTTCTAATAAATTGTTTATTTTTTTTTTAAATTCTAGGGCAGTTAATTGTATTAGAGAACATTTTTTATTCGATTAGATGCTATTTGCTCAATTAACACCGAAAAAAATCTTAAACCCAAGTTTCTATAAAATTTTATGTTAATTTTTTTGAAATTATAGTAGGGATATTTTTTTAAGTTATGAAACATAATGAATATAACATGTAATTTAGGTATATTTAAAGTCAATTAACACAGCTACCGTGGCCTAATCATCTAATCAATTAATGAATATATATTACACATGTTTAGTGTATGAATGAACTAGTATCATATATTGTAACTTATTAATTTTATATAAATAATTGACAGATATCAACAATCTACTCACTTCTGCGACATGTCAGTGTGGCACCCAAGACTGCTACAAGATAGTGGAGTTATTCTCCTCTCATATCTCTTTGAACTTTGACATCTCGTTTTCTTTTGATAAAGAGTCTTATGAGTTCAATAAGTACATATTATCTATTTAATCAATAATATTTATAGAACACGGATCTTTATTAACTCGGACATTATTAAGTCGATTTAGGATACCATTGTAAGGGGATTGAGGTAGCTCATACTAAAAGATTTAGGCCATGTTTGTTCCACCATTTTTAGTTTTCTAGGGCATGTTTTCTATTAAGGGAAGTACAATAAAATTGTAAGGCTGCTCACCTGTGTTGAGTAATTAAATGACACAGCATATTCATCAGTCTGATCGATTCTTTAGATAAACATTGGCTATAAACAAACAAATAACATTGAACTCTATCACTCCAATTAATAAATTATATTTATAGGATGTGTCTGTATATGCATATATATGTGTGTGTTTGTTGTGTGAGTATATATATATATATATATATATATATATATATATATATATATATATATATAGCTTTCTTTTGTATATAAATTATATTTTGTTTTTCTTGTACTTTTAATGATTGTAATCTAGTTTTTCATTTATATCTTATGTAGGTTTTTTATGATGTTTTTCCTACTGTAAAAATGTATTTAAATTTTCTAAATAACATTCAAACCACTAGTACGTCATGTGTAAGGTTATTGCAAGCAAAAACATGTAATTTATCATTATGACATGATATAATGTACATAACAAAAATAAAGCATTATTGTTATTATTAGATAAACATTTACGGGACTATCATCTTAAATACCGAATTTTATGATCAGAGACCGGCACAAAATAGGGAATTTCGTGCAGTAAAAAAATAACAAAAAACATGCAGTTAAAGCTCAAAAATTGTATAATTTATGTATATAATGTTCACAATCCATAGTTTTTCTTTGACTTAATTTAATGTATGAAATGCTTATTTACTGTTGTGTTAGATTTACAGCCTCTATATTAAAGTTAGATATATTGTGCAGTGACGTGTGGAAAACTAATTTTTAATTAAACAATACGTCGTTTGTTGTTGAATTAAAAACTGTCTTAGATTTAGGTTGACCGTCGTTTCATTTAGATTTAGATCTAAATGAAAAAAAAAGCGATATATAAAGTTAATCGAAAATATTTATGATAAACAACGTTATTTAGGTTATTCATTTTTTTCTGTTGGATTATTGCACTAAATCAATACAAGATTAGAGTTTATCCAAAAAATAACCCCTTTTAATATTTATTTATTTATTCAGAAGTATTACAATCAGTCACAATTAAGGACATTTATAATAGCGTTCGGAGAGCTTATTTACAATAAATAATACAGAAAATAATAATACTAAAAGTAAAGGTACATAAACAAAAGAACTAACCTAATCAAAATAACAACTAAAGTACATGCATACAATAAAATATTTTCATAATCCATTCACTCAGATGAACTCCGAGCCAAGCCTTTCTCCACAAGTGTGGAAGGAAATGCAGGACTCCAGGAGATCCCAGAGCCTCTTACTCAATCGCATTACTGGTATTAAGGACCAATAGAGCCTGGTAGCTTTCAATTTTACAATTTTAATTAAATAATTGCTGCCATTGAGCATAAACAATAAATATGTTTTTAATACTGATATTATGATTACTGTTGTTTTTGTATTTTTGAAAGGCTTTTGAAAATGGTTGTTAAGACCGATACTTGAAAATAAAAATTGTTGATAAAATTTTTTATTTATTTATTTTTTTTATTCCTAACGATATTTACAACTGTATTAAAGAAATGAATTTAGTAAATTTGAACATATGGATATAATGACGTGAAAACACTAGTTGAGAAACTACCCAATGGTAGCATAAAAAACATTTTTTAGTTAAAAAATGAAAACTGTGGCCTCTAAAACAATAAAATATGTAGATGCTATCAAGTATCTAATAAACTAATATCCAGAATTATCCTTTGACGACGCCTCAAGCTTTTAAAATAAAAGTAACTTATAAAAAAAAAAAATATATCTGTTGCGTACATTTTATGATGATCCAAAGGAATAGTGTGGTATTATAATTCTTTACTGTTTAATATACTTATTTAAAACGATATTAAATCAAAGGGATATTAGTTACACTAGAACCTGATAAACTATTTTTTTTTTCATACAGATAAAAGGATAATAGGATAGATCACGATCAAACCAACTTTTTATCAAATTATTAATTCTTGTCTGAAAATTTGTGTATGGTCTAATTTTATCGCAAATTACAACTTTTTTATTTACGAAAATTCTCTGAAATGGGACGTTTGCGATCTAGAGATCGGTAAATTTTGTCAATTTAATGAGGTTCCAAACTCATGAACACCCATTTGCTTTCTTCTTGAATTATAAGATAAGTTTATCACAAAATCTATAAAAAAAAACGTGGCCTACAAAAATACAGGGCAGTTTGGAGTGACTTCCACCCTCAACAAGTCTAGATGATGTGGCTATTAAAATGAGCTAAACGGCCCTGTAGTTTTGTAGGCCGCTTTTTTTCTATATTTCGTGATAAACTTATCTAAAGATTATAATATTGAAGTATAATATGCTGTTGATCAGATAACGGTTTTAGAATAAATAATATCTGTCAACTAAAATCGTGTATATTAGTAAATATTTAGTTAGCAAATTATTTACATTCTACAAACAGAAATGTTACCTCCTTCCATCCCCTGACTATGTTTACCAACCTTTCGCTATCTGAAAAAGGACAACTGGAAAATCCTCCCCCGACCCTTTCACTTACCTACCAAATGTGTCAGTACTTGAATACCTTCAGTGCTCGAACCTCGGTTAGTAAGAGAAAATATTACAATTTTTATAAATGGATTATATACATTATTTTTAGTTTGTATAACTTTTTACATATTTCATTCTAATATTAGTTAAGATTCATGTACCATCAATCACTATAGTTTATTATTAACCGTTATCGGTCGTATAATATTATATCTCTGATTGAATTTAAGAATTTTCATCCCCTGAAGATGAACCACACGTTTGGATTGAAACGTCGGCACTAATAAAAACTTTATAATGACTGCTTCCTGAATATTTATCACCCATAAAATTGTGTAATGTAACGAAAAAAGTAATAATTAATAATTGTTTGAATTAATAATTTTTACTTTTATTTTATGAAACTATATGGAATTTCCATAGAAATTTTAAAACCAACACTTACTAGACAAACACTCCAAGCTTCTAATTAATTAAAAAATACTCATATATATGACTGTAATAAGGCCTGTTTGGACTTACGGATTTGTGCTTTGGAGCTCCACTTAACCATCGAATTCATCTCGTATCTAATCCTCACAATCCAAAATCCTTAGTGCTCCTAACTTTGTCACAAATAAAATAATTCATAAAGACCTTAATATTTTGTCTTGCACTTTTTTTGCAAGACCAAGATCAAGACCGCCTGACTGTTGCAAGACCAAGACCAGGGACTAGTAAAAAAATCGATTTTTTAAAATAAAAATTAAGCCAAAGTAGTAACTAATACTCGACAATTCTAGTTAATATATGTTAATAATTGGTATAACCAATATACTTTTGCATTTAACTCCTCTAATTTTTCATTCGGGCTTAGTTAGGTTTATCCTATCTAAACAATTACAGTAATTTCTCTATAGTAATAAGCTAATAAGTAGCTCCAAGACTGTTGCGAGACTTTTGCGCAAGACTAAGAGCATGACCAAGACTGAGTTTGCAAGACCAAGACTCGTCTCGGTCTCGCATCTGGGCAACATTGATGATAACCCTTCGAGGCATATGAAAAGAAGATGGCCTCGTGATCTCCTAATTTAGAAATTTTATTAGAGTGCTATTAATGGGTAGTTTGTCTACAAGTGTTCTCATGTCAATGTATTTCTATATATCACATTTACTAGATCTATATTTCTTTTTATACAGTTGTAAATTTCATGAACAAAAAAAAAAACTTATTTCTACATTAGCTTATGTTTATTACTGATAGTGGACCCAGTCGTAAGCTTTAACGATTAGCCTGTTCAAATTTATGAAAAATTCAGTGTTATTTTTCAAACGTATGTTTTAAGCATTGATTAGAATAAGATCTTGAGGCCGATGAAGGATTTCATTATTTCTCCCATATAATGAAGCTTGTATGTTGAAATGTGACAGAATAAATCACATTTCATTTTGTAATTAGCAATAAAATGAAAGTCGAAAATACAAAACCTGTGTATTATATAAACAGTAATTATTATTTTACTTATAAACCGATTAGTTTAATAGTCGTTAAAATAAATTAATAGATATTAGTTATGTCTATGAGTGGATTGACTAAACGCACTTGATCAATCTCCACTAGCTTTAGTACCAGCGAGGCGGTTAAGAGAGTAGCGCAGGGATCTTCTTGAGTCCTGGTTTTCCCTCCATAGTTGGAGGGATAAGCATGCCTCGGAGTTCCCTCGCCTGGTTGTAAATAGTACATATAAGTATATATGTATTTCTTTTTTTACTTTCACATACACATATATATGTAATATATATAGTAAGGGTAAGTATTGCGATCGTGAAAATTTTCGAATCTCAGTTTTCAACGGAAATACATGTTTTGAGGTCCCCTGAGTTCAAATAACCAAGTGTCGCAAAATGGTCTGTGTGTGTGTGTGTGTTAACAGTCTAGCTCATAAACGAAAAGTAGTACGAAACTGATATTAAGTATTTAAGGTTTGTATATAGGCCGGATGTGACAGCAACTTTTTCGTTAAAATCGGCTAACTGGAAGTGCCACTTTATATGAACGCTGAAACACATTTTTACAATTTTCTCAAAAACGACTCTAACGATTTTGATCAAACTCGGTGTATCATTGTATAATTAAGTGGTCTTTAATATCATTTAGGTCTTATCCCCGTTGATGTCACTTTACAGGGCTTGAATGCCCAATGTTCATATTTGTCTTCCTCTAAAGTACCTTTAATATAGTTTATTTTAAAAAGTTAACCATTTCGCATTATTCAGAGTTACGAAAAAATGCTACATATAACTTTTGAAAGAAT